TTAGCACAACCATTTGTTCCGGCCCCTCTACCATACCGCACCACCGCACCACTGCGCCCACACCATAACGTCTGGTGGCAACGAAAAAAGTGACCCACATTTCGGGTATTTTGTGTGGACGCTGCTGTTCTGTGTAATGGGGGGGCGTTGCCGTTTGGAGGGGGCTGCTGACAAATTGAAATCATGACATTAACCTCGGCGTCACACACACAAAACCCAAATCCACACATGCAAACACACACACTCACACACACACACGCGCGCGCATATTCGCACACAGAAAGAAATCGAAGAGATTGTTGCATACTTTCAGGCATAAAATTTATGCACAGGCCCTGATCTATGCAGTCATGTGTGTATGCGTGTGTGTGAGTGTGTGTGTGTGTGTATTAGTGTGTGTGTGTGTGTGTGTGTTTGGTAATATGAAATCAATAAATCGCAAACATTCTTTTATTGCGCATCCGGCCAGACCAGAAGACGAGACAAGGCCAAAGCTCTTTGTCTGTTTTTGTTTTTGTATTTGTATTTTTTTACGTTGCTGGTTATTTTGTTGCTATAAATTTGTATTTGGTTTATTTGATTTTGCATAAAGGATGAAGACGACGACGCTGACGGCCGACAAGGATGAAGAGGACAACGCCCAGGCTGGAGCCACGAGCGCAAGACATCCTCTGTGCACGCCAGAGAAACTGTTACGCACTCTGGGTTTATCAACGCAAAACCACTTGAGAATAATGATGTCTGCTCGCTGCCCAAGTAACAAGTGAAAGCGATGGCGACAGGGGGACGGGCTAAGATATTGCCACATTTTTATATTGCTTTTTATTTTACTTGATGCTGCCCTTAATAAAATGCAACTTTCTTAGATATATATATGTATATATTTTTATTGCTGCACTACTTAAATAAATAATAAGCAGCTTACAAATATTCTTGCGGAAATAATGGACTATAAGTAAGTATACTTTCAATGGAATGACAGAATAATATAAACTGCAGCTGAAAAGGCAATGCTCTCAGGCAGACAAGCATATTGATGGAAGCGAAAGTTAAGCACATCTTTGATAATTCGATTTAGTATGTTTATAATCCTGCATCCATAAATGATTGATTGACTTTGTGCTAATGTATGTAACAGGCAGAATGACACATCTCCGACCCCATAAAGTATATATATTCATGATCAGGATATAATTGATATGTTGATAAACAGTGCAATTTTCATCAAGATCTGATAATAAATATAATAAATAACAAGCAAATGCTCAAAACATATTCTCATATTCGAAATACATGAGTGACACGGCAACAAACTGAATATATATGTGTGTGTGTGTGTGTGTGTATGTGTATATGTGTATATACACACATACATATGCATATGTATATGTGTACACGAGTTTGTCGCCAGTCAGTGATTTCATTTCTTGTAGTTAAGAACATGCTCTGCTTTAGATTTTCCTCTCCCTTTCATTATCTATGCCTCTCATGGGAAATGCATGTTTCCATTTGAGTGTGGAAAGTTTTATAAGGAAAAATTTGTGCAAACGAAATAATTGAATAATATATTTAATAGTCGAGCTCCTGGACTTTAGCATTCTTAATTGTTTTATTCAAAAAGGTAGGCTTTTATTATTAAAATTGTTTCAAGAGCTGAATTCTGAAAACTTTTGATTTTTTCTTAATAGTAATTAAAATGTTTTTTTTTTTTTAATGTGATATGATATTATATATGTACATATACCCAATTTGTATATGTATGTGGGATTGAGAAAGGCGTTGATACAATCTGATTAAATAAATCTAGTAAAAGGAGTTCTATGCGAGCTGAGAAACATTAAACATAAAATTATTTTCAACTCCGCACTAAGCAATATGTATATATAAACTTGTGAGTCCAGAACATGTGCATAATCGTATAAGCTCTAATTAATAACAACAATGGTGGCATGAACCGGTTGCCACAGATATCATGAAATTATATACATTTGGTCGACTCTCAGTTTCGATCCCAGTTGGTCATTTGACGCTTGATAAGAGCGTCGCCGCCACAGAGACCCTCACAATCGGCATGCATTCTCATTGGGGCTTCAGTATTACATTTCAATCAATACCTTTAAATACAAATCATGCATTCATACCATTAATTTAGTCTAGCCATGGACAATATGCGTTTAATTGTGCATTGTGTTGAGCAGATTTGAAGCTGTGAATATTAGTATCTATTCAATGAACTTTGAATTCCAAATTGCTCCTTAAGCCACATAATAATGTACTTTGATTTGCAGACATTGCCTACGTTTTCCTTTAATATATGAGCAGTTCACAAGCTGTGTTATTTAGTCCTTATTCATTTGATAAGAAATGCTTAGGCAAATTTCTAGCTAAAATTAATTGATTAATTCATAACTTATATTAAATTTATTTGATGCGAAATGGTTAGACAAATTTCTATCTAAAATGAATTGATTAATTCATAACTTATATTAAATTTATTTGATACGAAATGCTTAGGCAAATTTCTAGCTAAAATGAATTGATTAATTCATAACTATTTCTAAATTATCAACGAAGATAATTATATATGCAAGTTATTGTACAAACTTATGAGAACAAACATGTTATTAATAGAAAATAAGTTTATGTGAGTTTATTTTAGGTCAACTTTATCAAACTTAAGATTCAATTTGCGTTAAACTACAAATTCTTTTGCCAAGTCCCATTAAATGTCCGCTAGCAGCTGATGGCTAACCAAAAAAAAAAAAAAAGGATTCGATTTTGGCTCTACACATGACCAAAGCATTTTTTATTACACAAAAAAAAAATAAATAAAAATAGAAAAGGGAATCATTAAAAATGCAAACGGAAGCATTCGTTGGACTCATAAACATCAAATTCGTAAGGTCAGAACATCTGTTAAACTTTTATTGGGTCTTGCTCCCGTTCCCTACGTAACTTTATACTTATGAAACGTAGTATGTAGAGTTGTGTAAAGTTTCCCGCAACCCCTCCGAAACTGATGCCGATGATACAAATGTGCTCTCAGACCATAATGCAAGTTTAATTTCCAGTCCGACACGCAAAAAAGGGCTCAATAAATTACGAAACAATATTTTCATTTTTATATATAAGTAAATATATATATATATATATATCAAAATATGTATATAATGTGTGGCTGGAAAATGTGAAATGCTTGGCTTGGTGATTTGAGGCAGCGAGCGGCGAGCAGCTGTTGACTGATGCCCTAACTGGGAGGCTGTACCGGAAAGATAAAGTACACTTCTGTGATAAATATAACAACAAGTACCCAAGGCACGCACAAGCCGTTGCCCGTCGGTCCCGCCCAGAACCAAGCCAAACTTAACCAAACCAAACGAAAGCAAACCAAACCATACCCGTAACAGAGCAGGCAAAACGCATCCAAATTCATTTGGGCAACTACTGGCAACCAGGAGCAGTTGGGGGTCCTGGGTTAGACTGGGGACTGACTGTTAGGATCCGGAACGGCAGCTGTTATAATGATGCCAACGATACATCATCGCAAAAATGCTAAAATTTTCGGCAGCGTTGAGTGCCGGGAATGCCGGGAGTGCCGGGAGTGCCGAGAGTGCCGAGAGTGAGCCGTCAACAGCTGTTACCGCTGATGAATCCTTTGGGTCCGGTTCGCTTCCTCATCGCCCTCCATTTCCCTCACCGCCTGACTGACTAATATTTCAATATTTCGCACATAAAAGGCGTAAGTTATTTTTCATATTTTCATTCAACCCCCTTTTCCCAGCAGCCCCATTTTCGATGCAATTCGGCCTCGCCATCTACAAGCAAACCCCGCAATGCGCTTTTGGCTAATTTCCCGGTATAAATCTAAAAACTGTGAAACACAATGCCCATAGATGCTGCTACATAATTAACTATCATAGAATATGCAAGGCACGTGTTTCAGATTACATGTCAGCCCCCATTGTTCCCTTCGGTCCGGGTTGCCTGGCTGAGTCAGTGTTCAAAAGTATTGCCATTTGTTTACAGTTCCAGAAGTTGCTTCAGAATTATACTTTTTCTCGTTTTGCCATTCGCATTTATGAATTTTCTTTCTTTCTTTTTTTTATTTGTATACCCTATGGTCGTAAAAAATTTAGAGATAAGGTATGTTAGAGGCATATAAGTATTTGCTGTAGTCGTTTTAATTGAGGCGATCTCAGCTAATGCAAAAACTTGACTTTAGACATTGTTTTTGGTGATGGTATAGCTGATTATTTATTAATATGGAGTTAATAATCACTTGATACAGAGTATCTATGGGAGAAGCACTTTGTTTTCAGCACTCCAGCTTGTTTTAATTTGCTGTGCGTGCTCTGTGTATTTGAAATGTGCATTCCCGCAGTTTATTCCAACGTGCTCCCCGCGCTCTTAGGCACAACTACAATGCGTCGCTTCTGTTAAACAATCGCACTGGGAGGCGCAACAGCCCACAAACAAGAATTCTGAAAGCCGCTTACCACGAACTGCATGTGTGGCATAAACTGACAAGCGTGCAGAAAATGGCTTCCACTTTGCGAAGAAGAAAATACAAGAAAAGCAATGGAAATTTCGTTGGAATTACCAAGGATTACCATAGGCATTAAGGAAGAGAAGCGCAGAAGTGCGTTCTGTGGCTACTTTGCACATACACAAGAAACAAACTAAAGTGTATACCTGCAGAACATAATCCTTATGTATTCGTTTGCCGATTTTGAATCTACTGTCAAATAAATCTGAGAATTAATTATCAAAAAAAAATATGTTTTAATATATTCTCATGACTGTTTTTAATTATTCTTCTTAATTCCATATAAGTATTGGAAAATAATATGAAACAAATTGGCAAATTGAAGTGTCGAATTCACAAGCCATTATATAATAATGGCATATTAAATGCAATCATTTACAATAAATAACTTGTTTAGTTTGATTCATATTGGCTACCTGAAACATTTAATTTTGAATCATTTGCTTTGTTGGTATACTTTCAGACAACAATCGAATCCGAAATTATTTTATTTAATTTCCATCTGGTTCAATAACCAAAAAACTACATAAATTAGGCCTCAGACATCAGACGTTAATTACAATGCTAACAAGTTCAAAACCAGTTTATCAGCATATAAATCGAAGACAAATTTTAATACAAAGTGGTTTTTGTTATTACATTATATAATCAAAATATTTAAGATAATTCAATTATTCCACAACTGCTGCGTTTGATGGAGAGAAGCTGGATTTTTTCCTTTCCAACATTATCTGGAAACTCACAATTGTCATAACGAAGGCTCCCATTGTCGCTTTGAATAAATTGTTCAAGCATCTTTATCAAATTCTTTGAAATTAACATTTCATCGGGACGCCATGGTTTAGTAAGTTCATTTTCAAAGATATGATAAAAATCATCGCCATGTCCTGTGCCTGTAAATGAAAATTAATGTAAGTTGTATTAGTTGGCACTGAATTTCATATTTCAAAGTCATCTACCAGATTGAATATCGTTCCGCTTTGCTAACCAGAAAAAATTTCCCAGATCTGTTGGATTGTCATACACGTAACCGTACACTGGACTCTTTCCAATTCTGCGATGCAGATCTATTGATCGTTTTGTGCCATTTACAAATAATATATCCGTAAATATGCGCTCCACATCGATATAGTTATCCACACTGAAACTCTGATTGCCCAAATACTCTTGTCGAAGTTCACGAGATCTCTCATCCATTTCCTCAATTGTCTTCATCGAGTCCCGATAGAAGAACAAATGGGGTGCCAACTCAAACCAACGGCTGTTTAGCTCCTCGATCAACTCCTTACCATTGGGCTGCCTTGCAAGCAGAGAAGCTGCGTTGTAAATTCCATCCTCCTGTGCGTTTGAAATCAACCAAGGCACTTGTGCAAATTTTCCACTTTTGATGATTTCAATGGGATGTTGGGTAATGATGGGATTAGTGGCATCTTCGGGCTCAACCACTGGCCCAAATGGAGTAAAAGGCACATATCCAAAGACCAAAAATTGACGCACAGCTGTGACTATTTGTTCAGCATCTTTTGATTTGAGGCAATTTTTTAGATCCAAGGAAGTGCTTAGTAAGCCGCAGCCTACAATGCGACCCATCTCAAATGCACGACGACGTCCACCTTCTTGAACAACCCAAGGATTCAGTGCATTTCCACTAATGGTGACTGCCACTTTGGCCAAGTCCTCAAAGTCTTCTTGCAGCATTTGAAGGTGGACAGCGGCAGCTCCTGCAGAGTAACCAAATACCATTATATTTTCAGGCTCCCCACCGAAGGAGGCAATGTTTTCCTTTATCCATTGCAAAGCCAGTCGCTGATCTTTTAATCCATTGTTGCCCGGAATCTGGGAGTCTCCAGTGCTTAGGAAACCCAATGGGCCTAAGCGGTAGCCGATCTTCACTACAATTAAATTTCCCTCTGCCATGATTGGCTCATGCCCGTCTTCAATTTGACCACCAAACATGAAGCAACCACCGTGTACATAGGCCAAAACAGGAAATGTGGTGCGACTGGAGTTCTTCGGCTTATAGATGCTGACTGTCAGACAATCCTCACTGCCTGTTAGCTTATCTTCCTGGTGGATAAACTGAGTCCACTGCATGCAACGCACAGGTGGCATAGTGGCATCAAAGATTTCATTCCATTGGCGATCATATTTCTGTGGTGCCTCAAAGCGAAGGTCTCCCAAAGGTGGCTCTGCGTAGGGTATCGATTCGTAGCTGTAGTACCCTTCATTATCGCGACCACGTAATTTTCCATGTGGGAGTTCCACTAACAGCGGGAGTGTGAAAGCAGATGCTGTGCCGACGCAGAGCAGAGTGATCAAAATTATGTTATCCTTCATGACTTGCCCTGCTCCGAGTCTCAAACTGAACTGTTCAAAACACAGACAATCAGCTTTCTTTTTATTACTATTCTCGACTCAGTGTGTGTGCTCCCTAATCGTATTATTTCCATTAGCTGCTCTCTCCAATAAAAAGATTTAAAAGAACAAGTTTGCTTTTTAAATTGATAGCACTGTTGATTAGTCTCCATTTTTAATTTTAATCTGGGTGACTTGAATTGAATAATATTTACATTTCAAGTCACAGGAAAAATGCAAAACACCTCAGATTTAAAAGAAAAATATGATAAAAATGTTAATTATTTTAATAGTATTTTGTAGATAGACTTTAAATTGACATTTTCAGTTTCTGCCAGCAGTAATAGCCCTCTCCCTGATCGTAGGGACTCAATTTAAAGTGTTCGTAAGTTTGTCTTGAAAACCTCAATAATAATTTGTTTTTGTTTTGTTTTTTCAATAGTTATTTATTAGTCAGCTCCAATAGTACTCAGATAATCCAAATAATTGATATAAACAACCCACAATACGTTTGTGTTTGCAATTCACTAGATCACAACTCATATTAAAACCACTTCTACTACATCACCTAAACTCAAGCCCAAGGTGCTTGCGAGAGCTCGATTATATACTCTCCCCGATTTGATAAAGTATATTATTCATGTTTGTAAGATCGCCACTTAACTGTATAAATATTTGCTAAATGTTAAAAATAGAGAAACGTTGAAATGCCTATTAAAATGTTTAACACTTTCTTAGACATTTAGTAATCAATAAATATAAAATAATTAAATTATTCCACAGCTGCTACTTTTAATGGAGAGAAACTGGATTTGATCTTGACCAACATTATCAAGAAAGTCGGATTTATTGCGCTTTGCCAGCATGTATCCAAATCCCTTATTAGAGGGATTATCGTAGACGAAACCGTAACCAGCACTCTTCCCATTTCTGCGATGTAGATCAATTGCTCGTGTGGTGTAAATTGTAAATAAGACAATATAGTCATCCACATTTAAATTTAAATTGCCCAAATACTTAGTGTACAATGCGACTAAACTCAAATGCAATCTTGAACAATCCAAAGATTCAGTGCAGTAATGGAGACTTGATGCACTGCAAAGCCAGTCGCTGATTTTTGGATCCAAAGTTGTGTGGAATAAGGGAGTCTCCAGGGGTTAGGAAACCCAAAGGGCCGAATCGATAGCTGATCTTCACTACAATTAAATTTCCCTGTGCCATGATTAGCAAAGGTGGTTGGATATCGATTCGCAATTGTCATACACCTCGCGTCCAAGTAATTTTCTATGTGTCTTTCCTGTGCTGAGGCAGAGCAGAGTAATCCAAATTGTGTTATCATTTATGACTTGCCCCGTGCCGAGTCTCAAGGTGAACTGTTCTCATCGGAGACAATCAGCTTTCATAAATTAATAAAGAGATTAACAGTATCTTACTGCTCTTACGTTACAGACAAACACATTCGAAAAGTGTGGAATACTGTAAATTTTATAGCGCCATCTATAAATTCTGACTTAATTAAAGTTTATAAGATGGGATTTGCTAATGTGACTGGTTTGCGCTTTATAATATAAATAAATTAATTTAAAAAAATAGAAACGCAAATATAAAGTTGCAGTTTGCTAGTTCAATGATTCTTTCGCTTTAAATCTATTTTAAAAGCAATTATATTGCGCTTCACAAGTTGCTAAGTAACTTGTATAAGCCTCTTAACCAGAGCTTATTATTTATAGGAAATAACTGAATATTGTTATTGGTAAATGACGTTTTAAATAATAATTGCTAAGCGTTGCAAATTGTTCAAAGTCTCGAAGTGCAACATACTTGAAGAGAGAAATAAGTTGGATTTTGTTTTGTTAAACTGATTTAAGCTATAAAAATCCATTCGTTATATTTGCTTGAAGTTAGCGGGCTTCATTAATTCAGTAGCCCAACTATTAACATCAACTGGGGAGCAGTCAATTCCAACTCCCAGACAAATAAGCGATGCTATTATCAGCATTCTAATCAACGATGATGAAGATTATGATGATGATGATGATGATGTTAATGATAATGTTGATGATGATAATGGGGATAAACATGAATAAGAGACTTGGTGTCAGTCGAAGAAGCAAATGCTGTGTTATGGAGTGCCTTTGTGTGTGTGTCTGAGTGAGTGAGTGTGTATATAAATGAATTAGTTCGCATTAAGTATACGCAGCAGTGTACGCAAAAGCTAAGCAACCATGATTCAGGAAATATGCTGAAGACTTGTGACTGCTGCTCATTTGCCCAGTGGGTCAGTGGGTGTATGTACATATATATATATATATGTATATATATATACATATCTATGTGCAGCGTTGGGATATTAAGTTCTGCTGCTCGTTGTGTGAAGCATGGAATATTAATTCCTTAAGTAATTCACAACATTTGTAACTAATGTTTGTTAATGAGCTATGCCCCCACTAACGACCCCACCACTTCACCACTATCTTGCATATACTGTGTACTGTGGGTAAGGTGGCCCCTTAAGTTGAATTACTACTGCGTTTGGGTCGCTAAATTCTAGAATTACCAAGTGCAAAAGTGAGAAAACCAAACTGAACTCACCTTTTACCCTCCAAGTAACTTCCTGTGATATGGAATAGAGTGGGACATGCTACGTGTTGGACCGTTGAGCAGACACTTAATGAAATAATTATGTAAAAGCCAACAGCCTGTCCTTGTAGCACCTTTTTGGCCAATACACGTACGTGTGGTTTTTACATTCATTAATTTGCCGACCTTCCCTTTGAATGCCACATTTGAATTATTTATTATGCTACAGATTGCTGGCAATATCATTTAGTGTTTACACACATAATAGCCCTTGGGTCACCCTTTTGGTTATTTGTATTTATATATCATTGATCGGCGTGTCGAGCTTGTGCTTTATTTTCTACGTTTCTATCAAAAGGAGTTGCTCAGTTTTGGGTCAACATCACGAATACGTAAAGAAATTATGTATATTTTGCTATCTTAACTGACATATTGCCAATGAAAACTGCTATACGAGATTACGTTGATATTTCTTTTACCGGCTTTAAACTCAATTCGAAAGATTCAGGTGCTAATTCATGCAGCATATTCGCATTAATTTTTCATTGGAAAATTAGTTCGCTGGGCAGTTGCAGCAGGCAAAAGCCAACCAAACTAACCAGCTTTTTGGCAAAACCCTGTAGATTAAGATACCTAGACTAACACTAAACTCGGTAAAATAAGTAACGAATTCAGCCGATCTTGTGGCAATGAGAAGATAAGCTCAAATCACATGATTAAAGATTGTATCTCCTTAGCCAGAAGAAGAGGGTGCAATATACTAGGAAAAATTTGCTTAAGCTCGGTAAACCTAGAAAATCTCTCCTTTAATAAAACAAAATTAAATTAAAAATTAGTTCGCATAGCTTTGTCTCTCTCTTTGGCAAATATCAAGCCACAACTTTCATTGAGTAATCAAACTTGTAATAAGAATGTAAGAGTGCTACATGACTGAATTTGTCATTCCTTTTTTAATTGTTGAAAATGCTTTTCTTAACCAAGGATAGTCTAATGAGGCATACGCTAAGATTCATTAGATTCTGTGGATGTGGTAAATACGCTTAATAACTTGTGGCATTTGTGTATAAGTAATATATTTCTCTCTATATACCATATATACGACCTAGACTCGCAGTGACTCGTTTAACCAGTTGACACAAAACTGTCAGAGCGACTATTTGGAACCTGCGAAGCGAGCTTGTGCGGCACTGAGGAGGGCTTATAAATTGCAACTATGACACAAATGTGGCGCTAATCAGCAGCCACCCCCATCCACTCTGCCCGTATTACAGATACCCAAGTTGCACACTAAGCCGCCAAAGTAGAGATTTTGTCATCGGGCCATAAAATATGCAACAAAAAATGCGACTAACAAGTAGCGGAAGGGCTGAGCAGCGTGTATCGGGGTTGCTATGGCAGAAAGTGGGATACTCTGCATGTGCATGTAAAATAATTTGAAAACACGGCATTTGCGTAATGAAGCATGTGGAAAACGCGACGCGAAGCTGCTGAGAGCAACTGAAAAGCGCTCATAAATGCCAGAAGTTGCGCGAGTCCTTAACTTTTATGAGCAATGCATGGAGGAGAGTGGGGCAGAAGTGGGAGTTGACTGAATATGTGTTGCAAATAGACTCCAGGTGCAAGTGGCGTATCGCACATGTTTGTCATGCGAGTTGAGTGCAGAGCGTGTCTCACAGTGTCTCAGTGGATGCGGTTGAGCTGACATAAATGTGCGAATTCTCTCACCAACTTTTCGCAACATACACACACATAAGGCACTTCAGCCGTCTGGCAGCAGGAAGAAAAGTTGGTATGTAAGTGTTTTGGCTGGCATTCGCATTCAGTGCGTAATCTTCACCTTTTCCACAGTTTTGCCATGCACTTTTATTGCATGCTTACAGACGCTTTGCAGCCCCCCAACACTTGCCGATTGTATCGACAAAAGTTGCACCTTGAATTTGCAACTTATGCCACGTAGCATTCACTAAAATCCAAAAACCAGCCAATTCACTTGCCACGACACGACACCGTGGGCGAAGAAGGCCTATTTTTATATATTGAATTGAATTCAATTTGTACCCATACGAAGCCAATTATTATAGCCAACTTTTAAATGATTCATTTAGGCGCTTATAAAAAACAAAAGAAATCCTTAAGTGAACCCAATAACTGAATAATACAGAAGAAATAATTTCTTGTTGGCAAAAAAAAAGTTATTTAAGATATATTTTACAAAATAGTCGTTTAAATGCCATTTTATGATGAATAACACTTTAACGCACTTGAATCAATAATTTGAATTCATTTTCTCAGGTGCCAGATTAAAGTTAATGTTCGTGCAGATTGAGTCCATGGTAGGTTGCAGCTGCAGTTTGCTAAGTAGTTGTAAGCTGCATAATGTATTTACGCAAGCACCGGAAATTGGGTGCCACGAACTGGTGCAAGTTGCCTGCTGGTGAGAGAGGTAGCTCGTCAGCTTGCAGCCGCTGTGCTAAACGCGAATAGACAAGTGTGATCCCTTGCGGATGTGGATGTGGATGCGGGTTTGAGTTTGGGATGCGGGTTGCTGGTTCCTGGCTGCTGGCTGCTGGTTGCTGGTTGCGGATTGCTGCTTGGTTTATGCGCTCATATTTGATGGCATTGTGAATTTTGTGTGGAATTACAGCCCCTTAGCCATAGAGCTTGCTCTCTCTCTCTCTCTCCCTGCTCAGCTCAGCTTGAGCCCTCATTAATATGTGATGCTTACGTTGGTTGGAGTGGCTACGAAGGGCTGTGACCTGGCTTAAATGCATCGCAGAAGGGGTCAACAACAAGAACCGATTAAAATGCAATCCATTCGAACACGTTTTGAGAGATGCTTCAACTAGATTTGCCAATTAACGTTTTGCTCACTAAGCCAAATGCAAACACTTATCCGATGATCAAAGCCGTGCTAGCTAACAAACATATGGTGTGCAATTCTAGAGTGTTTCTGAGATGTCGACTTATAGCCAGCAACAGATATTTAGAAATTGGATATTATTTATTAAGTCATTTTCTTGTTTTTTTTTTTAATCTGCTTGTTTTTGAGTATATGCAAATCTTTAGCGTTAAATCTTCCATTTGATAAAATCTCAACAATTAAATATATTCCAGTTGAAAAAGAAAATAAAATCTCAGGCATTCTTGTGTGGGTGCAGTTTTATTCTTTATTTAAAGTACCTGAAACCTTTCAACTATCAAAATTTTTAAATTGAGCTTTTATTTTTGAATATTAAGTTCTGTAAAAGTTAACCGTTCAAAATCCATAATAAGCTAAATCAGTTGACTCAAGAAACAAAGAACCAGCAGGCAAATGTAACTAACTGCGAGACACAGTCCACACCTGGCACAGAATGCTGGATAAATTTAGGTAAATTTTAAATTGCAAATATGAATTAGATATAATATATACTATTTTCAAGTATGTGTCTACAAATATATCTATGTACTATTTATTACATGTGTTGGCACATACAATTTTTAATTTTTAGCAATTGTGGAGCATTTAGTTTTAAATGCCAGCAGAAGAGGTAAGCGAAACTCGACACAACCTATATACTCAACGGCACCACCCCCTCTCGACACCCACACCGCACACACTCTGGAAATTTTGCGGTTGTATGCAAATTAACTTAAATGTAAACGCTGGAGCATTTTTTTTTTTTTTTTTTTGCGACTAGAGACGCAGAATTCAGACCTAACGAAATGTCAAAAAGGGAAATTCAAAACCAGCAGCAAAATGGCTTCAAAGTTGTGCAGTAAAATGAAGCAAGCGATGAATGTAAGCAGGTTAAAGTGAAGAGATGGAGAAAGCGAGAGAGATAGAGAGGGAGAAACAGTTACGAGAGAAAGTCAAAAAAAAAGAGGCAAACTGCAAACGTCAACCAAATTCTAGGTTTTTTTTTTTTTTTTGTTAGCTCTACATTGACTGAAACTCGGTGACAATGATGTTAACTAGAGTGTGAAAACTATGATTGGCTGTCGAGAGATACACACAGAAGGGTTGTCGAGAGGTGAAGGTGGAATGGACGGGGTGTGAAAAAACGAATCAGAAGCTGCGAAGAGTGATGAGAGGCAGTCGTTGTCGCTGTCACCAGGATGAGAGGAGGAGCGGATGCCAACACCAGCGCCAGCAAAGTGCTCCATGATTTATACCGTATTTGCAGGCAGTTGTTAACTGTGATGACATCCTCTTTACTTTAGGTATGTAAGTGCACACACACAAAAACACACACATATGTACATACGCACACAAATACATACAAATCTGTTGTAGCAACACACGCTTTCAATTTGCTATGGCCTGAGTGTGATACACACTGTTAACCCACTGTCGATGAAAAACTGCTACAAAATGAAAGCAAGTATTTTCAAGTGTTGACTTATTAGTCAGGGCCGTCAATGCGAAACCGTTCGCTTTTATTGTTAATTTTTTATTTTTTAACTCTAGTAGGTTGCACTTTGAAGTAAAAGTCAATCAAAATCAATATGCTCTTTTGATGTATAGCGTTTGAGTTTGAGATATTAACTAAGATAATTTATTTTATAAGCCAATATGAAGGAGTTCCTCAATCGAAGCTAAAAGCTTTCAATGGAAATCCTTAGATATTGTTTCACTCAAAGCGTTAGCGATTTAAGAGGTTATCTCATTATGGTTGAATAAGAACACTGAAATCAAGCTATACGTTTTTGTAAATGCTGCTTTATTACATTTGATTGCTGAATTAGATTAATTGTCTAGTAGTTTTTAGAGAGTGGCGTACATAGTCTAAAGAGGAAATTTGTCGGTTAGCTATATCGGATTAATCCAGGTGCAGTCACAGGTTCGTCTCTAAGTATTCGAATCAATCTCGCTCAGTTGCGGTTGGCCTGGCAGTTGTTAACCTCACGGCGGTTGCGGCACATCTTCAGCTCGCGATCGAACCATTGGCCGACGGGGCATACCTGGTGCCTGGCACGGTTGTTGCGGCAAACATAGAAGCGGCGGCAATGTCTGCTGTTTGTGAAAAGAACGCCATCCTCGAGACCCTGACAGTCGCGCGCGGAAACCAGGGCTTCAGATGGCTTAATCACAACAGCTTTAATTTTTAAGGCTGGGTTTGGGGTAGTCGTTGTCGCTGTGCATGGTGTTGTCGTTGTCGCTGTGCATGGTGTTGTCGTTGACGCTGTGCATGGAGTGGTCGTTGACGCTGTGCATGGAGTTGTCGTTGACGCTGTGCATGTGGTTGTCGTTGTTGTGGTTGTAGTTGTTGTGGTTGTAGTTGTTGTGGTTGTTGTCGTTGTTGTGGTAGTCGTAGTGGTTGTTGTTGTGGTGGTAGTCGTAGTGGTTGTTGTCTGTTCGCATGGTGTTGTGGTTGTTGTCGGTTCGCATGGGGTTGTTGTGGTTGTTGTGGTTGTAGTTGTTGTGGTTGTTGTCGTTGTGGTCGTTGTCGTAGTGGTTGTTGTTGTGGTGGTAGTCGTAGTGGTTGTTGTCGGTTTGCAAGTTGTTGTTGTGGTTGTAGTTGTTGTGGTCGTTGTCGTAGTGGTTGTTGTTGTGGTTGTAGTTGTTGTGGTGGTAGTCGTAGTGGTTGTTGTCGGTTTGCAAGGGGTTGTTGTGGTTGTAGTTGTTGTGGTTGTTGTCGTTGTGGTCGTTGTCGTAGTGGTCGTTGTGGTTGTAGTTGTTGTGGTGGTAGTCGTAGTGGTTGTTGTCGGTTTGCATGGGGTTGTTGTGGTTGTGGTTGTTGTCGTTGTGGTCGTTGTCGTAGTGGTCGTTGTGGTTGTAGTTGTTGTGGTGGTTGTCGTAGTGGTTGTTGTCGGTTTGCATGGGGTTGTTGTGGTTGTAGTTGTTGTGGTGGTAGTCGTAGTGGTTGTTGTCGGTTTGCAAGGGGTTGTTGTGGTTGTAGTTGTTGTGGTTGTTGTCGGTTTGCAAGTTGTTGTTGTAGTTGTTGTGGTTGTTGTGGTTGTTGTCGTAGTGGTTGTTGTTGTGGTTGTAGTTGTTGTGGTGGTAGTCGTAGTGGTTGTTGTCGGTTTGCAAGGGGTTGTTGTGGTTGTAGTTGTTGTGGTTGTTGTCGTTGTGGTCGTTGTCGTAGTGGTCGTTGTGGTTGTAGTTGTTGTGGTGGTAGTCGTTGTCGTAGTGGTCGTTGTCGTAGTGGTTGTTGTTGTGGTGGTAGTCGTAGTGGTTGTTGTCGGTTTGCAAGTTGTTGTTGTGGTTGTAGTTGTTGTGGTCGTTGTCGTAGTGGTTGTTGTCGTAGTGGTTGTTGTTGTGGTGGTAGTCGTAGTGGTTGTTGTCGGTTTGCAAGTTGTTGTTGTAGTTGTTGTGGTTGTTGTGGTTGTTGTGGTTGTTGTTGTTGTGGTCGTAGTGGTTGTTGTTGTGGTGGTAGTCGTAGTGGTTGTTGTCGGTTTGCAAGTCGTTGTTGTGGTTGTAGTTGTTGTGGTCGTTGTCGTAGTGGTTGTTGTTGTGGTTGTAGTTGTTGTGGTGGTAGTCGTAGTGGTTGTTGTCGGTTTGCAAGTTGTTGTTGTAGTTGTTGTGGTTGTTGTGGTTGTTGTTGTTGTGGTCGTAGTGGTTGTTGTTGTGGTGGTAGTCGTAGTGGTTGTTGTCGGTTTGCAAGTTGTTGTTGTGGTTGTAGTTGTTGTGGTCGTTGTCGTAGTGGTTGTTGTTGTGGTTGTAGTTGTTGTGGTGGTAGTCGTAGTGGTTGTTGTCGGTTTGCAAGTTGTTGTTGTAGTTGTTGTGGTTGTTGTGGTTGTTGTGGTTGTTGTTGTTGTGGTCGTAGTGGTTGTTGTTGTGGTGGTAGTCGTAGTGGTTGTTGTCGGTTTGCAAGTCGTTGTTGTGGTTGTAGTTGTTGTGGTCGTTGTCGTAGTGGTTGTTGTTGTGGTTGTAGTTGTTGTGGTGGTAGTCGTAGTGGTTGTTGTTGTGGTTGTAGTTGTTGTGGTAGTAGTCGTAGTGGTTGTTGTCGGTTCGCATGGGGTTGTTGTGGTTGTAGTTGTTGTGGTTGTTGTCGTTGTAGTTGTTGTGGTCGTTGTCGTAGTGGTTGTTGTTGTGGTTGTAGTTGTTGTGGTGGTAGTCGTAGTGGTTGTTGTCGGTTCGCATGGGGTTGTTGTGGTTGTAGTTGTTGTGGTAGTAGTTGGTGTCGTTGTGGCTTTAGTTGTTGTCGTTGTGACTTTAGTTGTTGTGGTTGGAGTTGTTGTCGTAGTGGAGGGCGTCTGTGTTTCACATGGGGTTGTTGTTGAAATTGGCTTTGGGTTATCGCACGGTGGCTTCACAGTGGTTCCGCATGGAGCTTGACCACCCAACGCCGAATGATGTGTTTCGTGATCGTGGCCAGACACGATGGCACCACTGCGGTCGCCATTGTGGCAGTCAACCAGGCTGGGCAGGTTGCAGATTTGTGTCTTGGGATCGAAGAATAGGCCATGCCGGCACTCGTTTCGCAGCGCACGTCCGCGCAGGCAAACATAGAAGCTGGAACAACTAATGGGATCCGCGAACGAAAGTCCATTTATGTGATCTGTACAGTCTGGCCTATTTGCCTCACTGGTTGCAGCCAGCGATGATAGGGCAATCACAAGTGTGAGCAGCAGCACGTTATCTGCAAGACAAGGCAACACGTGCCACATTAGAATAGTGGGCCAGTCGAAAGGGCCCAGGCCACAACTTACAAACTCTCATTTTTGTAAATAGTCCTTCGCTTTGCTTTAACCGTTGAGAAAAAAACTTTTGTACTGAACGACAAACTGGAGCATCCGCATCGCTTATATAGCTCCCAGCTCTACTCTTATCAGCATCCACAATTACACCAAGAAGTGCTCAGCCACTTGACTTCGACACGACTCCTGAGACATGTGTATAGGAACAAGATGTCGGAATCTAGAAAGCCATTAGCCAAATTGAACATCTAATGTAATATTAATATTTTCGACCAGCACACCAAGTAGAGCGCATTATATAATAGTAATTGTATTGTTTTTAGTTTCGTTAATCCTGCACCGGTTTCAAATTGTAGTGAATATTCTTTTGATCATAATTTTTTGTGGCATTATATTTTAAAAAGTTTAATTTGCGATTATTCATCTGGGAGTGTGGGAATGGGAGTACTTAGCCCCAAAGAGCTCATTGAATCAAATATGTAAAAAACAGAAGTGAATACTAAGATTTAAAATCGACACAAACATACTTGATATATTAAACAAATGCGTTGTACGAGAAAGATATTTCACAAATTTGCGTTTTGCATTTGTCAGCCTCCAACACTTGTGAACCGACGAATGAATGAATATTTAACAAACTTGTGCATAATTCATGAGCACTGTTTGAATATTTAAGTTGATACGTTGGATTCCCTCTCACACACAAACATAGACAAGCACTGACAAGCAGACCAAATCCTTGATGCTGTCCCAACTCATGTGGTTGTATTCGAGGCATTTGCTTGTGTCAACTACTATACATATCTATGTTTGTGTGTAAATACAGGAATTGGATTGGCGAAAGCATAAGTTAGCTTGAAATGGAACAGGACAGAGCCCGAGGCAAGCAAATGAATTCCATTAATGTTTGTATGTAATGAATCTCATAATACTTTTAAATATTTTAGTTCCAGCATGTATACATAAATAAACTGAAATATTAATATTCTTTTCTATATGGGAAAGATGTATGTTAAATAAAAAAAAAAAATAGGTGGCTATAATTGGATCAGCAATATTAAGGTACTTTTTATAGTGGGACAGTTTTGACATGCATTCTCTTGCGAAAGAAACTATAATGAGAAAAATGTTGAAAAATTGTAGTCATTTTAATTTCATTTAAGGAAAATTGTTTTATTTACTTTTTTATCACTTATGATAATCGCTTAACACATATTGCAAATATTAAATTTGCTTTTCATTACATTTGTTATTTGTAGAACACAAGAGTACTCAAATTTTCGTTAAGCTTGCTAATTCGGGGCATAAGCTGCACCTACAATTGTTGCAAGTTTTTAATACTAACTAATTTTCATTTTTTTTTTTTTGTTTGTATTGTATTGTGTAATATTTTTAAATATTTTTTTTTTTTTTGGCTTGTTGGAGTATTTATTGTAAAGGAACGTCAAAGCTTACATATTCGGTACACACACATACATATTTACACAGTTCCTCTAAAGATTTAATTACGAGTAATTTTCATAAATATTTAATTTTTATTTAATTTATTGTTTACACATATGCAGAATTCTACAGTATTGTTATTATTTACTAATTGAAACAATAAGACGCACAACTTCCGAAATATTTACATTTTAAATTAATAGAATACCCAAGCTGAGTCACAAAGAACTTTTTTATTCGTTTTTACTTGTAGTAGTTGACACAATTCCAAGAATTTGATTTCTAATGCTTTGAGACATGGAACAATAAGTTGTTCTTCATTTCGACGTATGTGATGCTATTTTTTTGTAGCTATTAATATATGTTCAAAAGATGTTAATGCGCTGCGTTGTACAGCTATTATTATTATTAACTTTAGTTTTTTTTAATAGCGTAAGTAAGTTTCACTTCTTTCATTTCAAGTTCTCTTGGTAACGTTTGCTTATTTGTTTAATAGAATAATGGCTGGTTTTTAGAAGTAGCTTAAGTTCTGCTCTTTAAAGTTATTTTTTATAATCAGTGTTGTCTTATAGCATTAATTTATTGATACAACCATAACTCAAGTGCTTAAATAACCGCATTCCAACTGACACTGAATCTTAAAGATTTCGAAATCAAATTACACTGCATTAAGTATTTTAGATTTATTGTTATTTATTTACACAACTCTCTAGAGGCCTTCATTTATTTTACTACTAAATGATTTTATTTTTTGCAAATTATATAAAAACGTTCTAAACAAATTGTGAATATAAAAAAAGCAAACTTAATTTCAAGTTAGGAATTATTTTTATGTTTATAAATATTGAATATACACTTACATATTTATTAGCTAAAAGCAAGTACAATAAATCTGTTGAGTTTTTGGCATTACATGAGATCGTAAATCAATTCGTCGCCAAGTATCTACACTTAATCGTTGTTGTAGACACGTCTCCCATTGTTTGTTTGTGCTTAAAATTCTAGGAATAGTCTAAACTGAATCGTTCAAATTGCAATTGTGCCGTGAGCTGGCTGCTTGTTGCCAGTGCCACGGCTACTGCGGTTGCTGGTCGGCTGCTCAAGTTTTGTCCTCGGCCACTTTGGTGCCACTAATTGAGCTGCTGACGGTGCCACAGTCACCGCCGAAGTCGAATCCGAAACGCCGTTGCCTGCGGGTTGCCGTCTGCCGCTGTGTGCAGAGCCTGCGGCTGACACTTTTGCGTACTGATGTTGTCCTTGGTGGCTCCTGCAGTGCTGCTGGGGGATTGTTGGTTTTGTTTCGGTCATGATTGCAGCAGATTGCCACATTTCTGGCGAGTACAAATTTAATAATCCACAAAAGTGTCAAAATCGTTGAAATATTTCGCCAGTGCAAACAGCCAGGACAACCAATTAGCGTATTCCAGCTGACACTGGCGGATTTAATGGCAGATGCAGAATATTCACCTGGGATTAAAAGGAAACAGTCATGTGTGTGGCTTGTGGTTATCATCAAATGTTTATTGTAATTGTTACAATTGCAATTGGCAATCGCATTCACACTACTACAAAAATGATTACTCAAACTGAAAACTCACATTCAATTTAAACTCAAATTCTGTGGAAATCAATTTGTGCAATTTACAAACTTGTAGTGTACTAGGTGTGTGTGTGTCGATTGAATAAATAGAGGCATATTGTAATTAAATATTGCTATGGCAAAATTGAACAGCAAACACTGCAACCGAAAACTCAAATAAAAGTACGCATAAATTATCTGATATTTGAGTGTGCTTCAACATATTCCGACTATAGCATGGCTTTATTTTTGAAATCTATGTATATGTGTATAAATATTTGAGTTTAAACCAACAATGTCAAAATGAACTGAGTATGTAATTTAAGTAAAGTGAAGAACTATTTTAAAATAAGTCCTATTTGTCGAGTATATATTAAAACAATAATGGTGATAAAAAAAAACAACAATGAATTGTGGAATTTTCTTTTATGCAGAATGCAACTTCCATTAAACTCTTTAAAATGTTATAGAAACTATATTAAAATGAATAACTGAATACATATGCATATTTAGTTGTATAATGTGCTGATGAACTGAAGCTAATTCAATATATAGAATTAAGAGAAAACTTGGTTAAATTATGCTTCATTTAACATTCAGCATGCATAAAATAATAGGTGGCCTATCATCAACAACTAAAATATTTACACAGCAGCAAATTATGCATTGCATTTCATTTTAGATTTTTCCACTTGCTCAACCAATTGCTAAAACAGACCAAATCTAATTTATCCACATTAATTAAGTATAGCTAAATGTTTTGGTGGTAAAGCCGCGTTTTCCATATAGGCTAAATAAACCTAATTGTATGTACATAAATAGCAGCGCTCGATAGAAATAAAACACAGTGTTTAAATCAAAATAACGGTTGAGTTTGAATGTATGTTCAAACTGTATTCACATTTTCATATTCACATTTGCGTGATATGTCTGTATGTGTATTTATAGTTAGTCAATCTATATAAGAATATTAATTATGCCATAAAGCGAACCGGCGGCAGCAGGTTTGTCTCATGTGTGTGCATAATGACTGAGGAAAATGCATTCAAATTAATAATTGATAATATCATTAAGTTATTAATAATTATTTGTCATAATTGTTGTTGTTGCAGTTGTTTTTCTGATTTCTCCGTGCTGTTCCAGCCGCCAGTTCGGGCATTTTGCTTCCGCCATGTCCAGTTGGCCAGCAACAAATGAGGGGCAGTGCAACAGCAATAACAATATTAACAACAATAATAACAATGCCATTGTAATATTGAAAATATAAAAATGCACCACAGAATGACATTAAGTTTATTAACCCTTTGGCACTTATGTAAAAATCAATGAAATATATGTATGAAAATTCAAACAAAAGTCGACAACGTGTATATCTTTTTTTAAAGCACTCCCAGCACCACCCCCTGAAAAATGCTATTAAAATGCATGATAAAACTCCCACGCAACATGATTCTTTGATTTTCATTATCCGGCTTTAAAATGTTTTACACATTTTTCCGGCTTAAAAGTGATGTGAGCCCCATTTTATCGGCACCAATTAGTCGAATATTAAAAATACATCAATTTTTACAATATTTATCGTGTTTTTTTATTTGATTATTATTTCGCTTTTTTGTATGCATTTCATATGATTCTGTTATTATGAATTTCTAAAAAAATCAAAATAAACATGAGCATGAGCATGTTTTCAATGTTCTTATTATTTGTACAGAGTTAATTAGAATTTTACTTGAATACGTATGTTAGTCATAGTTGGAGGTTATTTATTGAAAATTCCAATATTCTCGCTTGTAAATACCAATAGTTGTGAGCGATTAAAATATTGTGAATTCCATTAAAAATGCTGTGTCCATACGCAGCGAAATTTATACTGAATTAAATTTTTGTCAATTGAAAAGGCTGGTATATATTTTATTCAGTCAATAATTATGTCATCAGCTCATCGGAAATTTGGCAATTGTGAAATACGCGGAATGTCTACAGAAAAGCATTTTGACCATAATTTGATTTGTTAGTAGTTTTGAAACAATATTGTCATCAGATCGTTGGAAATGGCGTACTTTTGCACGCTTACAGATAGAGTTGTTAGAATTTTAGAATTCGATTGTGATATGGGCAAATATTTAAGCTGAAAGTTGCTGTAAATTTATGTTTTGCTATTCCATCGCTATTTGAGTCACCAGCCATTGAATATTTTCACAATCCATGCCTTTTTTGATTTTAAGTTACACATAACAACTGCGCAATGATAACCGCAGCTGAGGAGAGTCCATGCTGACGAGGGGCGGCAGTACTGACAGACATGCCCTTAAATCATTACTTTGTCCTATCTGACTTTCTGACATATATAAAAACATGTGCATCACTTGACATTCGCATAGAACGTGTTCATACCTTAACTCGAACTCGAACACGAAAACATTTGCCGCAATTGCCAATGCCATTTTTATGGCCGTTATTTTAAAACCAGCGGCCCGAATAAACGTGACAGTTGTTTGCGACAAACAGACAGACAGATACTCAACATGTAAACGACAAACGCAAAGCGCGCACCTGTCTCTCAAGCGTACTGTGTTTGGACCAGCCTGTCAGGTGTCATCATCACTTAGCAGCTGAGTAGCAACGCCTCACACGCACTCCTCTCCCCATTGAGTTGTTGGGCGCATATACATAAGTAGCATGCTTCAAATTGCCAGCTACACGGCAGAACACATGTCAAAGTTGAAATACACGCACTGCTCAAACATCAACAACAAAAAAAGCAAGAACAACAGCACACAATTTAAATACAAACACAAATTGCGTATTGATTTACAAATATTTCGCACACACATTGGTATGCCAGATACATAGATACAATTGTATCTTTGCTTGACAAACGGACAGGCAGATTGTTGCCAATATGTGTGCGAATACGTTTATTGTAGGTCATCATCTTTACAATCATCATTCTCACTGTCGCCGTCGTTTTGGCCATTGAGCAAATAACGCAATTATGGATATTTCCAGATAACAATAAAAGTGCACCCGTTGCTTCCTGGTGATGCTGTTAATGTAACTGTTTCTGCCTGAGTGGCCATAAGCATCGTAGAAAATTGCACTATGGAACTTTCAACGAGCAAATGGTCATAAAAATTAAAGAGTCGAACTTTACATGTGGCAAAATATTTCAAGTAATCGATTAGAAGGAAAGGTTTGACAAAGTAAACAAACTTTAATTTTAGTCAAGATACTGCTGAATTTATTACCATCTGTGTGTTTTATGAATCGCAAATACAACTGTTTGCTGTTGCAGAAATATGAATAAAATTGAATTGAAACAATAAAAAAAAAAAATAAAACGATAACTAGAAGACATAAAACTTAACTTGTACTGGTTGACATTGTATAATTTTGGCAATATCTACATTCGACTACTAACGCGATGGGAACGTATTATAATTTTGTCGTGAAGTTTGTAACGCCTTGAAAAAAACAGCTCCGACCCCAATTAGTATATTTATTTCTGATCAGCTTTGCTACCCGAATCGATTTCCATCTATCTGTCTGTCTTGATGCAATCTAGTCCCTTATTTCTAAAATTATATTGTCGAAGCATATATCAGTTTAATTGCTAGAAAAAGTATATATTGCCAGATCGGATTAATACATCATAAGCTGCTATAGGACAAATCGTGTATGAAAAACTGTTTGCAAATTAAAAAACCAGCGAGATCAGACTACCATATCAGATAGCTCCCTTATCATGATGAGTTTTTATATGAAATATATTTTTTTTCGTTTGGAAAAATTCGTTTTATCTCTTATAACAGAGTGAGAGTAAGAAAGTCTATATAAACACACACAATATGTGTACACTAAATTAATAGTCACAATAATAATAACAATTTAACGCATTCAAATTAGAAGCACTGAGCAAGCATTTCGTACCACTGTGCATGCGTTGGTGAGTCGAAAGTCAGAAGTACCGAATGCAAGAGAAATAAAATTCAATTAGCTTAAATTAAAACTTAATTCAATTGGCATGCAATACAAAAACATTTGGCACTAACTGAAACGTGGCTTGGCCAAAGCCCAACTCCGCCTCCCTCACCACGTTCCCCCAGACTTACCGTTTAGCACGTGCAGCACAATGGTGCGTGGTGCGCTGTTTGAGGGGCTGCACGTATAGTTGCCGGAGTCCAACTTCACCACGGCGGGAATGATGAGAGATGCCCTCTGCAATTAGACAATATTAACAAAAGCAAAATGTGAACGTATACGTAATATTTATATTGAAATGCGATGCTTGAGCTGGCGAGACAGTTGTCCCGCGAAACGGTGCGTATGCACCACAGGACGCCACATTGGGTAACGGAAACTGTGAAAATGCCACTGTTTGTCACTTGAGTGGCAGCAAAATTAAAATACAAAATATGCACACACTCAAATTATACATATATTAAAATAATAATAAGACGGCGTTGACAATTTTCGACAGTGTTGCGAAAAATTGAATAAAAATGCCATAGCATCCACTCCACTCCCCCTTCGCCCCTCCGCCCCTTGCTCACTCTCTTTCTTTCGCATTCGTGAGGCAATTTGCGTAATGAATACTCGTTTAATGAAAATGCTGAGAGTGGCATATAGAGAGTGAGAGGGGAATGTGTGCATTGAAGACTTGGGGAGCTGAATGATTATGATAATGATAATGATGAGAGACACGCCCACACGTGCGGTAAGCCACTTACCGTTATCTGTTTAATGAAACTGCTGCTTGGCAGCAATGTTGTTGTCGTTGCCATTGTGATTGGCTCTGTTGTAGTCGTAGTTGTTGTTATTGTTGTTGTTGTTCCTGCTGCTGCTGATGTTGTCGTTGTTGTTGTTGCTGTGGCTTCCTCTGATATTGCTGTCGTCATAGTTGCAGCAGCAGCAGCTGCTGCTGCTGCTGCTATTGTTGTCGTTAATGTTGCCGGCGTGTCAACTGCCTTACCACCATCAACTATGCCACCTTCACCTGCAGCGCCGGCAACGGCAGCTGCTGTCGTTGACATTGTGGCCGTTGTGGGCGTGGCTGTTGTTGTTGGCATTGCATATCCATTTCCGGATATGGCGGTCCCATCACTCACAGTTATCGCATCTAAAATATATGAACGTGTTATGGCCGCTATATCATTTAGCTTCTCTGCTCTCATTGACGATGTCGATGTCGACGTTGCCGCTGGCGTCGTTGGCACTTCCGTTGGCAGATCGATGCGCTCAATTTCCGTTCGCCAGCCACGACGATTATGCAAATAGATTTGCTTCTGATTGTAAAACCAATTAATGAAAAGCGGCGGTTCCAGTGCCTGGCTAATTATGCAGCGCAGTTTCACTTGACTTCCGGCCTTCACGTGGCGCGTCGACTCCCCGATTAATTCGGTTTTAGGTTCTGCAAAAGAGCCATAAAGCACACACACACACACACACACACCCATAGTTTATTGAGTTGCTTACAATCTGTGCAAAATCTGTGCAGCGGCCACTGATTTATTGGCCTGACTGGTGATTTATGTTAGGTTTGGGTGTGGCATGCTCTGCAAGTTGAGCTGCATTTGGGAATCTGGGTTTCATTGATTGTGTCTATAACACGACTAGGACGCTCAATGAAGCAACTGCAAGGAGCACTCTCGCTTGCATAGCTATGATGATAAATCTATTCTAAATCTATTGTCTCTGACGCAAGTATAAGAAATGAACGAGTAGCAATTTTGTTGGAGTCTTAATATTTTCATCTTATTTTATAAAAAGAAACCAAAATATATATATCTGGTTTAGAAAGTGTTTAAGAGTTAGTAAGTAAGGACTACTACTAAATGCTGTTTTCACATATTACAATTATTCATTGTTTTACTTATGAAATTCTTTTTTACAAAACTTCCCAGTTTATTAAGCTTTAATTGAATACTTTGCTCGTATTTTTTAAGTAAAGTTGTAAAGTAAATTTTAATATATCATGGCGGCCTTCACATTTTCTTGCTTGCAGTAATATTAAATTCAAGTGGAAGTACGACTTTTAATTACATATTAATTTGAAGCATCGTTAAGAAGCTTCTGTCTTTCCCTTTGTATTTTCTTAACATTTCTTAACATTTATGCTTACTCACCCACTATACGCAAGTGCACAATGGCGCTCGCTTTGGGCTCCGTGGAGACCTGACATTCGTAGGTGCCCTCATCCTTGAGCTGCACATATTTAATCTGGAGGGACCAGCGTTCGGGGTTTGGGGAGAAGACCGACTGGAAGCGCTGATCCGCTATGAAGGTGGTCTGATCCACGGTGAGAATGTGACCATCCCGCATACGCAGCCATGAGATGGGCTTCTTTACCAATTGCTTGACCTGCGAAGAAAAATGACAGATGACAATCAGAAAGCAAATTAATATCCAATTAGTCAATAATTGAAGGCAATCTGAAAGCAATATTGGGTTCATATTTTAAACACAATGCAATTATGTATGTCTTAAGCACTGATAGCTCAGAGATGGGCGATGGGAGAGCTGGAAGCCAACGACAAGAGCAAATCCCAGCTGACTAACTGAATGATGTCAGCGAAACTTTTCTTGTTCGTGGCCCACAAAAAACAGAAAAAAAAAAAAACTTTGGCGCCCACAACAACGGAATAACGGTATTGGGCAACAATGTAACGGTAAACAACAACGGCAACAAAATGACGATTCATTCCTGTCAATAACGACAATAATAATTTAGAAGCAATTTTACAAGGCTGCCTCCCGCCTCCAACATTCCTCCACCCACCCACGACTCACGTAAAGAAAATAATATACATTCAATTCGCAAGGGAAGCCGAAGACATGTACGTGTGTGTTTGCGAGTGTGTTTGTACATGTGTCTGCAGAACATACATATATATATATATATATATCAGACTCCCTGATGGGCAGACTCCCTGAATTGTATCGCATAGAAGGGCTCATTGTAATTACACTTGACACAATTTGCAAGTTACTTTTGTGGACTAAGTTCGGAAATTAACTTCATTTTGACAGTTTGGCATTGGATTTTGATTGAATTGTACTTTGTAAGCGATTGAAATACGATTGGTATTAAGAGAATTGTAATAAATGGATTTGCAATAAATAAAGGATACGTTGAACCCAACTGTTAAATGCAAAGTAGAATTGCTGATAGTAGTGTGTTTAATATGAAAATACTGTTTGTTTAATAAAATCAATGTCTATTATCCGATCTTATTTAAATATTTACAGTTAATCAATAATATGTAGGGATATAAAGTGTTGCATGAATTGCTCTCGAGAATCGATGTAAGTTGGAGCAGTTGTCTATCAAATGAAATAAACTTGATATACGCAGGATGGGAAAGTTCTTTCTGAGATCTTACGCGAAAAGTAGGACTTGGCTGATAAACATATATATATATATACTATATATATACTTTATTCTTTCATTTGCCTGTTTCATACTTTTGCACAACATCATTATATCTTTCTCCCATTGTAATGCGCCATCGGTAAATAAAATTAGTTGTAATGATTTCGTAATATTTTTTTTTTGCCTTTAATTGCCCATTTAAATATGAAGTTCTAATTTCACCGAAGGTATTTTTCATTAAACGGAAACAATTTTTATATAAATAATATAATTATAAGTTAGCTGGTAGTAAATAAATAAATAACTTCAATTGTTCATTTCATAGCAGTTCACATTGTATCAATTTATGACTTGAGAATCTTAAATTCCTTGTGCTAAATTCGTAGGAGAAATACAATATTCACCTGATTCATGGCCATTTTCGCAATATATTGCCTTACATTCATAAAAAGTAAAACAATCTGTAATATAATACGGTTATTTCTAAATGATCATCTAATCCACTCAAAACTCAGATTCACTTAAAATTCCACGCACACATTGCGCACAGTGTGAGTCTACTCGCATACCCCATTGTAAAAGATATATGTGGGGGGGTATGTGGAATGGGGGGAAGGGGAAAGGTCATAGGGGCAAGGCAGCTGACTAAAATGGCGATTGCCAACCGTGGCTGTGACTCTGGCAGTAGCAGTGGCAGTGGCACTGGCAAATGACAGTCTTTGAACTGCTGTCATCAACTACATTGTCCGTGTTAGCTACGGCAATGGCGACAGCGATGTCGACGAGACTCATGGTTTGGGTTGGGGGGAGGGGGCACGTTGAACGACGTCATGATTAGATACTATAATCATTTGTGTTTTATGTGCTTGTTGTTTTTCATTGTGGTTGCTGCCCAGGCCATGGAACTAAAAGTGTCTGAGGCACGCACACAAAAGGCAACCCCAAGCAACGACAACAGAACCCCACTGAAATTTTTGTTGTTCTCCCAACTCTAAAGCTGCCCGCCTGTCTGTCTGTCTGTCTGCCTTGGTCGTAATTGCTGCCAGTTCCTTTGGCCCTCTTTGCTTGTCATACTCGCTGTTGTTGTTGCCGTACGTGCTGTCAAAACTATGTATATGAATATGCCGGCCCAGAAATGAGTACACACAACACAAACATTTATAATAAAACCGTACCTATTATGGCAATGTAAACGCCATGAGGTTTGTTTCGTATACAACATCAGTGATAAATTTGCACAAGCGTAAATTTCAAATTCACCACTGCGAATTACTCCACATAATGTACGCCGATGGTTTTAATAGTAATTTCCGTTTGCTTTTGCTTTATGTATTTAATATGGTGTTGACAATTTTATAACCAAAATGTCAATGCGATTGACAATTCGTGAGCTACTTTATTTTAATACTGTTATTTTACGGCTAAGATATAAGGGCATTTTACAAATGTTGTTTGCCAGAACTTTTAATGAGGTGTAAGTAAAATCTGTAATTTTATCTGAATAACTTTTTAGCTGGAATTACAAATAGATAAACTTGATGTTGGCACAATATTTACACAATATTTCTAATTCAAAACTTTTTTTTTTTGCAATGAAATTTCATAAGAAAAATTTGGAATTTATCAAAATGTTAGTTTGTGGACTGATTTCAAAATAGCAAATAAACAAGTCTGGTTACTAATAATACTGCAAGCTCCGAACTATGTAGCTATAAATAAAGCACTATGCTGTGGGTAGGTTGACATTATTAAATTTTGCGGAAGGCATTGAAATCGTGAGTATCGCACAAAGGACATTATTATCAGGCTGAGCATCGACATTGTACTCAGAGAGTATTAAGTGAAGATGCTTATCCAGTTGCTCGAACCGAGAGACAGTTGGGCAGCCAGCCAAGCAGCTTCTAGGCACGCACAAGGACAGAGCCAAGGGATGAAGATTGAGGTTGGTGCTTGGAGGATAGCGGGTGGAAGACTTGTAACGGGAGCTATGGGGAACTTCTTCAGCGGCATTTTGGAGTACGTGGCAAGTGGAAGTACATAAGTCCTTGCTGGAGGCTCCTTGCGGCTGATGGTGGCTCTTGCTGGCTGACAAATATTCATGTGGTTTGGGTCTCAGGTTGTGCCCGATCTGGAAGGCGGGCTTGGCATTAGCTAATTTAAATTCCTCGCTTATGGATGGCGCATTATGCGGCTGGGTTCGTGTAGATTGCGCTTAATTTACCAAAAAATTAATGGCCGTATTTTGCCATCGAATTTATCAAGATGCCTCTTGTCGTCTGTCTCCCATATCTCTCGCTCTTTCGCTGCTCCCTCGGTTTTGCAATTTAAATATTGTTAATTAGTTGCTGCTGTCGCTGCTGCATTCTCTCTCGCACTCTGCGTGTTACGTGACTTGGGCAAAGCAAATGTTATCATTGCATTAAAGTCAAACGTCTGGAAATGGGCAATAAACCCAGCGAGTGCCACTCAAAGTAGTTCTTGGAAACTAGTCGTCCCTCCGCCGTCTGGCTGGTATCCATATCACTTCTTTTATGTGCGTTTTCATTTTCAGTCGCCTTTTCAGCTATCGTCAGCAAATGATTTTGGAAACCTAAGGCTCGCAGACAACAAAGTTTGCCCATAACATTTGCGAATTCTGTCTAAACTTGTTTGTAAATAATTTCTTTTATTTTACCAATTTTTTTACACAACAATACACCTCAAACGGCCATCTATTCCACGCCACCAGTCTATGGGTAATATTTATTTCCCTTTTCGTTTCATATCTGCAAAAAAAAAAAATAAACTTTTTGCAGACTTTGCAAAATAATACAAAATACGGAAAGGGAATGCTTGGGGAGCAAAAAGGCAAAATCGCTTTTGAGAAAACAGAAAAGTTTCAAGTGCTCGCAGGCAAAACATATTTTTTTCCTCGTGGATTCTTTTCTTTTATGTCGATATACATAGATTCTTTGTAACGCTTGCAGTCTGAAATTTATTATTAATTGATTAGGTTTAAGCAGATTTTCAGATTGTGTAAAGTTATGCCAGCCAATAGCTGCGAGCTCAGCTTTGGTTAAATATATTTATTTATATATTCATTTTTTTTTTTTTTGTGTCAGGTTATCGGATAATCAGTCTTTAGTGAAGTGTTTGCTTATGGGAATATTATCCTGTTGGAAATCTAGATATATGGCGTGCTGCTTTAAATATAAAAGCCTCTTGTGACAGGCGTAAGTTAATACTTTAGTGTATTTATTGAATGGGCGCTCTATGAGAATAACATGCGATTATTCTTATGATTATTTTATTATGAAGTATGGTTCACCTTTCATACAGTATTATAATTGAATAATTCAAGGGTATTCTGTTGTATCAAGCATAATCGTATTAATTTAATTTTCATATCCAGCCCGACTTACATCTAGTTACTTTAACAAAAATCGAATTAAACGGCAGTTTAATCATTTCAGTTATCAATAACAGAAATTCTATTGTAATAAAAGAGAAGCTAAATAAAATTGAAATACAAATTTAATAAAAGAAATCCTTTGAGCTATTCGTATTAACATATATGAAATGAACGCAAGTCAAACTTGAAAAGGTAAATAAATCATTTTGCAAAAGTATCAGCTTTTAATTAACGAATATTTACAAGTGTTCTTTATTTTAATATGTTTCAAACCGAGACTGCTAGCAAAAGTTTTGTTTTGTTGTTGTTGCAGACGGAAAAGTATTTGTTTCCCTTGCAAGGAGCTCTGGCAGCGAGGAACACTTTTGTATATTTTAGTGTTTCAGCAAGTTGTAATTTGCTGTCTAAACAGAACATCGACTGCGCCAATTATAATGACTATAATAATTATGATTATGCTTATGTATATAATTATTCACAATGATCATTATCACTGCGTTGCAGGCAGTGCGCCAAGGCAGCGAAGCAGTAGTAACTAAGTTATTAGCAGATGGACTTCGGATGCCACACAGACACATCGACACACACACACATACAGCATGGGATGATGCTGCCACACCCAAAAGCGTGCGTTTGTATGTGTGAGGAGCGTAGTTTGCCAGGCTTGGAATATTTGGGTCAGCTTCGAAAATGGCGTTGCCTTTAGCTGTAAATTGGGCGTTGGGGTGAGAAGAAGGGCTTTAAGTGGGGAGTGCGTTTGGGGAAGGGATTCGTGCAGTGGCAGTGGCAATTTCCGGTTTGTTTTCTTTTAGTTCCGGCAGCGCCAAGCGTAAATTAGTTCAAAGCGCTGCAAATTTGAACTTCGCCCACCACTTTCCCGTTCCCATCGCCCCACCCCATCCCAGCCAACGAAGTGAAGTCTGCATAATCAAATGCTTATTATAAATTATCAATGATTATTAAAAACGGAAAATGCTTTGTCAATATTTTTAGTCTTCTTATCCAAAAAAAAAAGAAGAAAAAATTCCTCGCATTTTTCGTTAAAAGTAAACAATTTGTGGCACGAGGGGAAAAGGCGGTTGATTGGAGTCAAGCGAAAATCAATCAGCTTTTTATTTTGCCCTCTTCAGTTTTTCAGTTTGGTCAACAACTTAAGATTGCACGAATACTCCAAAAATTTTTAGGGGATAGGAAGCCGCCTTATGCAAGTCATTGATAATAGCAAAAAAAAAAAAAATAAATTATGAAAGAAATAAAAGTATACTTTGTGTAACCTGTCAGCTTTTCGGTGGAGGTTCCTTTTATTTTTGAGCACTTAAGACTGCTGACGAGGTGTCTCACAAAAGAAGCTCAGCTTTTGTTTTTCCGCATTATCCATTACACTTGAAATATGATTGCCATAATTCATATACTGAATTTTGTATTTGAATCTTTTAATAGAATTTGAAAGGCTGACAAATCCAAAATACTAAATCAACAAAAATATTTTTTATAAAATACTGAAATTGTAAACAACAATTTTTTTTTATAGTAAAATAGTTATTATTAGTGCTGTTTTATGAAAACGAAATATGAATTTTTCTGTTTGGCTTCGAAATATTTACCAGAATTCTTAATATTGACACGAAATTGACTCAATAATAAAATAAAAAAATGTAATCTTAATCGTCAGTGCCATAAAAGGTTACAAGGTTCATTCAAAGTAGATAAAATTCATAATAAATATATACCTAAGATTTTCGGCTGTGCATATAAATTGTATATATGTATGTGCATTTATGTGCATATAAATTATATACAGCAGCTTAAATATCTCGATTATTTGATATTTCGGAGCCACACATTACACCATTCATTGGATTTGCCCAACGTGATTTCAATTAAGACATTAGTGGAGAGTGTGGTTGGCAACCTCTGCAGCAAAGCAGTAAGAGTACTCGTGGTATTTAACGACTTCTCTTGTGTTTCACACACACACACACACACATACACACACACACACACACACACACTCAACCACTTACATACAATACACACACGTACCACTTATACTTGTGCAGTTTGTATAAGTAATCTCAAACACAAAGGCCGACCACCCTTGCCAAAAATAGCGCAACTGTGAGTCTCATTTGGCACGCATTATGGACTGTTAATTAAAGGAAATTTTGGGGCATTGAAATCGGGTCTTGTTCAGTTGAACCTGGAGCTCAGCGTCACTTACATTGCACGGCAAATAGGCGTGGGTTCCCGCTTGGCTAATTATTGTCTGGTAATCATCTATTGTTGGCGGCGGTCTCAGCGTTGTTCTCGGTGCTGGTCGACGTGTCGATCTGGTCGTTGTTGCTGCCACTGTTGTTGTAGTTGCTGTTGACTCTTCCGTTGTTACTGATGTTGCTTTTGTTGTTGTTGGTGTTGCTGTTGTCGTTGTGGTTGTCTCGCTTGTAAGGTTGACGCTGTTACTGTTGCTGTTGCTGTTGCTGTGTGGGAATAATACGTTGTACTGCGTAATTTTGTACTTGTGTTCATCCAGTTCCTGTTCCTCCACGTTTCTATTGCTCATAATAAGATTTGCTTGCAGCACAGCCGTCACACCCGGCACGGATGTTGCCATTGTGAGTGGGCTTCCGGCTCGCTGCTGCTGGTGCCGCAGATCGCCATTGTTGCTAATGTTATTAATGTTGCTGTGGTTGTGAATGGGTATGGGTATGGACAATGCTGCTGCTGCTGCTGTTGCTGTTGCTGCTGCCGCTGTTGATGCAACGAACAAGCTTGCATTTGTATGCATTGCATTTGCCATTGTTGGTTGACTCGCTATTCTTGTTATTGATGTTGTCTTTGCTATTTGCTCATCATTTGCTTTTGCAATGTGCGTTGTCGTCGAAATTAATGGCAACGATTGCGCCATTGTCGCCGTTCTCTTTGATTGACTTCTATGAAATGGCCCATCATTTATACTGTCGCTCTTTAATATTGACGATTTGGCTAACAGAGCAGCCGCCGCCGTCTCATCCATTGGCGCCTCCAGTCCACCTAACAAAGGAAAATGCAAAAGAAAAGAAATTAATGACTTTGTGTTTTGTTTTCAGCTTGCCGGCTTAAGCCGCTTACATATTTCAAATGCTCTGATCCCATTTATCTAATATGCCAGCAACAATTAAAACGATTTACGGGACCTCCTCTATTTGAGGAACCATTCACATTGAATTCAGCGAATACAGTTCAATAAATTAATCGACATTTGTCTTTGATGAGCCTACAAACACACACCCCTACAAGTTGCAATACCTCCAAATCCCGCCCCAATTTGTCCCCACTCCTCCAGTCAAGCGTTATCGAGTGGCGTTCATCTACCGTTCTCTGTTTGCAGTATAACAATTTCGAAATTAATTAGCTAATTACCTTCAAGGACAACCAGTAAGTGGACATTGAATTGATTTGAATAATTTAGGTAGGTATAGAAAAACACGGAAGGTCCTTACAAATACCCCATAAAAGGTCCATTTAAACCGTCAACTTATTCTATAGATTATTGTACCGGGATCGCATGGGACCTTAAATTGGGCAGCGACTTGCCTGGTAACTGAAATATAATGATAGAAATGAAGAGCACCACTTGACTGAGTTTCGCTAGTTAATTTCCTGTTGCCCCAATAGCATACATACAAAATTCAGTTGCTTTTTGTATTGCACCCAATTAAATCTACTTACTTAAGCAATTAACTCATTAACACCCTATAGAATAATTTCAAAGAAATTCGATGGGGCTAACAAAAGATGCTGATTCTACGAAATTATGTTCAAAACAATTAATATGCCTCTTCTTAAGTCTGTGAAATTTCAAATTAATGTAGTAAAATTATTTGTTTCATCTTTTTAATTTGACCATTGATTTCGATTTGAACAAATGCAAATCTTTAAAATTACGTTTATGCTAGACTTAAGTCAATCATAAACTTTATATAAATGACTTTTTACCCATTCAATTTATTACAAAATAAAAAACGAAATACATATGCACACACACTCACACATTTTTAAGTAAAAATAATTGCAGTAATCTATAAGAAATCGGCAATAATTTATGCACCTATGACATTGGTTAGCTGCCTCCATATCGATGGGGGACTGTTGCTGCAGCTGCGCGTAAATTTGCCAAACTGATGCCATAAATTTCGTGCCGAAACTTTTGCCCAGAACAGCACGACAAAAAAGTAAAAACAAAAAAGTATTGCAAAAAGGGGGGAAGTGACAAAACTTTGCCATGCCACACATATACACAGAAAAAGAAGAAGACGAGTTCCACACATGCCACATGCCGCATGCATGTCCTTTGATTTCCGGTTTCCTCAGTTTAATTAATATTGACTGCAATTTTTAATATGCTGCCAAGTTTGGGCCATATATATAATAAAAAATTACCAACTCGCTAGCAACTTGAAAAACTTTGCCTAGTTCTGAGCAATGCGTATGAACAATATTTCATTGTCCCTCGGGGCAGGCTCAAGTTACTTCGGTTAATTAAGTAATGTGCCGTGCAAAGAGCAGCGCCCAAGACAGTAATTGAGTCGGTTGAACGCTGAACTAACCCTAACCCAACTATCTAATCAACGCTAGGCTTCATAGCCAATTCAGCGGGAGGACGAAGAATATGCTTTGAGCAAATGCAAGGCTCGTGCCACACTTCAAGTGTGTCTGAGTGTGTTTAAGTATTTATGTGTGTGTGAGCGTGTGTGTGTATGTGTGAGTGTGATGTGCGTGTGTGTGTGTGTGTGTGTGTGTGTGAGTGTGTGTGTGAGTGTGATGTGCGTGGCATGTTATCATGTTTTATGTTTATGCGGCGGTGTACGTGCAATAAAGATAAAGCGATTCTATACAAAAACTTTTTAATTGCCTGCACTAATGATGCACTGCAACAACTTGATCATAATTATTATAATGTAATAAGTAAGTTGCCCAAATGCCCGACCACAACACAATTGTATAGTTTACCAAAATATTGCTCAAAATAATCTAATATTTATACTAAAAAATTATGCTAGCAAAGCCGCCTAAAACAAACATAATAAAATAATTTTAATTAAATAATTCATTTAATCAAAAGCAATATATAAATATAATTATATATAAATATTTAATTAAATATAAATATAATCATAAGCCATATATATTATATATACATATATATTTTAATTTCTCCCTTAAGAATTCTGTAATAATATTCACTCCCAAAGATATGATATGATGATTAAGTATTTTTTATTGCTGACATCACAAAGGCTTTAATTATTGCAAAACAATTTTAACTGATTTTGTAATCTCAGAAATGATAACAAAATAAAAAATATTATTAGATTTCGAGGAATTTGTTCCATGGTGCGTTCAGTGCCTCAACTCATTAACCGCAAACAAGTTAAGGACCAAACAGCTGTCGGGCTGTGAGTTCAAGGCATATAAAAGCGAAACATGAATATGCTATAGATGGATGGGTGTGGGTGTGGGCGTGGGCGGTGGGACGTGGAGCGCAGCAGCGGCAGACGCAACAAACGAAGCAAAAACAAATCAAAAGAGCGTTAAAAAACAGGAAGAGAAGAGGAATTGCAATAAAACAAGTGAATTACGCGAAAGAGACGCGCAAGGCGCAAAAAGAAAAACAGAATAATAAAGCTGGCATATTAAGAAAAATATCACTTTAGACGGCGACAACAACAGCACAACAGCAGCACCAGCAGCAGTAGCCTTTAAGTATGCTACGAAAATTTGCTTAATCTCTGCGCCCAGGCAAGCAACAAACTAAAAAGTTATAAAAAAGTCTCACACACACACACACACACATACACCGAACGTAAGCAAATTGTTCAAAAAGTAAAATATAAAAAGATAAAACGACGGCCACAGTTGCCGCGCCAGTCAACTTCCCTCCGCCCCTAAACATGTCTCATTGGTGGCACAAACTTGTGTAATGAGGCACGACCAAGCGGCAAAGGCGACTCGATGACTCGTTGCCAGTCTGAGGAAGAGTATGAACCAATGGCTGAGATTGAGTTGGGGTCTTGAGAGCAGACTCGAGACCGAGTCTGAGATTGGGCCATAAAATGAGTTTCATCGACTTTACTACTGAAAGCATTTTATAAACGTTACCCACACACACACAACTAAACAGTGTCTTTCTCCCTCGCAGCTAAGCACAAAAGTACATAGTAAAATTAACCAGCTAAACCCAGCGGGCACTTAAATTAGTACCAAGTCTTAACAATAAAATCATACAACATAATACGCCACATGCATATTTCATTTGAATGCACTCGACAAAAAATTATACGAAGATATTCATTTTAGTGTGATGGGTTCTATATTTTCTGATAGCAAAATAATCTTACAACTTCTCAAAAGCCCCTCAATAATAGTCACTTCCAAACAACTTAATATTCACTCTGTGAAACAATGATTTGATGAATATTTATTATTCAGCAAATTCCAAGAAAATATTCACAAACAGTTCTGAAGAATTATTTAAATCATTTACATTTCCATTTCGATTTTTCAGGTTGTAAAGTTCAACTTTATTGTTATCTTTAAAATGTTGAGTGCTTTGGAGGTATTTGTCAAAATGGTAAATATCAAAAATTGTAAGTATTAAATATGTAAGAATTCAAAAAAAAAACAAATTATTTACCAATAATTAAAAACTGCTCTATTAACAGCTCCTAGTCTAATTATGTATCAAAGAAACGATAATAAAAACTTAAACATAAAAATACTTAAATAGAAATCGTAATAAATTTTAAATCAATGTTATCTAAGTAACTGCTACTCCGGTCAGTTCTTGCCCTCGGCAACCCTTCAATTGTGACTGTTTAGCTATTTTTCTTTGCAGTATCAACTGAATTTCCACTTGAGTGCATTGAGGGCTCTCAGACATTGCCTTCAAATACACGATTTTCTTCGTGTGTAATCCCAGGCACGCCCCATGCACTGATGTCGGCGCATTATCGTTTGTGTCTGTCATCTCAGTCCATCTGGCTGACAACAATTCGACACTTTTCCTAATTATGATGGGCATGTTGTTGAGTTCAACTGAGATGAGTTGATGATGAAATTTGGGGCGCAATCCCCCCAACGACTATGGTGGGAACGGAACTGAGGCATGGTCATGGTCATGTAATCTCAACTCAACACCACAGAGCCGGACACTCGCTATCTCATCAAATGGCTGTCGAGATGACGCTAATAATGATGAAGGCAGCCAGAGCAAGGGCTCATCCAGCTACTGGCAACGTAATTTGTGTAATAATTGTGCCTAAGCGTTTAAGTCGAGCGTGTCGGTTGGGCCACTAACCAGTCGCTTCTCGAGGGAGTCCGAACAAGAGGGACGGGCAAGGGCGTGGCAGATTGGCCACGAAACGAGCCGGCAACAGCCAAAAAGCCACCAGTAACAAAAATAACAAAAACAACAAAACAACAATGAAGAATGGCGACCAATTGCCTGGGGCCGTGGGAAAGCGAATGAGTTAGTTACTCAGAAATGCCGGGGCACTCTTTAGTCCTGGGAGCCTCAAAGGGGGTGTGTTGGGGTATGTTGGTTTGGGTTTGGGTTTGGATCAGTCAGTTTGTTACAAGAATTCAATGGTGCTCGACTTGCTGTAGAATTTGATTAAACAAAAGTAAAAGTTTTCATCTCGACCGTCGAGCGGCAGCAGCCACTTTATGCCTCTCGGTTTTGTTGTTTTGATTGTTCGGCTTGGTCGCAATTTTCCGTACTTTGGTTTTTTGTTTTCGTTTCTAGTTTATTTTTGTTTTTTTTTTTTTTGTTATTTTGGCCTCGAGAACATTTGTTGTTATTGCTGGTGTTGTTACTTGGTTGCAAGTCCAATAGTAGTCCGAACTGTGGTTTACCAACCGCTGCATTCACCATTTTCATGGCCAACAATCGCAAAAATCAACAAGGACCAACTAGACACATTTTAAATTCGGTATATGGACTATTGAGTACTCTCTTAAACAATGTGTTCAGTAACGGATCTTAACTAGAACATACTTTCTATAATAAATGAACGTAGTTTTTTTTTTAGACAAAATTCCGATTATGTAATCAATTTGTAATGAGGGAAAAATTGCTTAAAATAAATCGCTAAAGTAAGAACAGGATTTTTAGCAAAATGTTTAGCGATTAACTCAATCCAAATACTATCATAAGGTAAAGAAATACTGATCTAAGAGAACCTATACGATCGATTAGAAAGTCTGATGTATATAATATTATTATTGCTTACAGCTTTGAAAGATGTTAAATGTTAGTACAACCTCATTTGAGGGCATATGAAAGACAATCAACTAAAGTTTTGCTTTGGTTGAAGTCAAATTTTCCAGCTTTTAACTAACACAATTTGAAAACAGCTCGTCCCAATTACCCGCACACTTTGGCATTGACTGCCCCCCAAATTGGAAACATATTGCATCAGTTTTTTATGCGCTTAAACTTTTTTCTTTTCAATCAATAATAACTGAAACGAAACGTTTGACTGAATTTGCCTCATTGATGGAAGTCTTGAGTGTCTTCTTTTTTTTGTTGTTACTCATTTGCTGCCTTTCATATTGCCATTTAAAATTCTGATTACCCTTTGTTTTTATTACTAGCAGAGCATTTGCAGGGGTCCCTTGCAGTGAAGTCTGTTTTTTTTTTTGTGTTGCGTACAACTTTTGATTGGCAGCTAAAAAGAGCTTTCTAAATGTGGAGTAGAGTTTCGTTGTTAATTAACTTGATGTTGAAGGCTGCAGGAAAACAAAGCAAACTGTATTTGTTCCTCATAATGAATCTGCTGTGCAAATACCAAGTGTAAGGCTTGCATGTTTACACTAATTGAAATATTAGTTGAAGGAGCTATGAGATGTATATAAATTAACTTGATTGAGCAATGAGAAGTGTCTTAGTTTGAAGTTGGCATGCATATCTATTATTTTTAAAATATAGTTTTATTCAATATACAATACAGGAATACTAAATTGAAAAAGGCTTAGATGATCTGTATTATTATTCAGGAAGTATACTTCCACAACGGAGCGTTGTGTTTTGTAAGGCGATTGTTTTTACTACTATTTTCTGAAATTCTCTATGAATACTTTCTAAAAATATTTTCTCAAACAAAACATTTCAACTTTCTAGAAATATTTTTTATTGCTTAGAAATATATTTATGGAAAGTAATAAAAACAGTCTTTTAATTTTAAGAAATGTTTTCGTATATTTCGAAAAATAATCTGGAAGCAAAAATATTTTTCTAGTTTTCGGGTCGATTTCTAAAAGCAATTTATTCTGAGTGTGGGTCAAGGAACTTCATTTTTAAAAATACAACAATGTTTTTCCAAGTATCATTGAGTAAAGTTAATTTGAAAATTAACAAACGGTCAGTTATTAAAAAAATCTCTCTGTTCAATTTGGACTCGTAGAGTCGACGTAGTTTTAGAATCTGTTTTAAATCAGATAAAAATATACCAAGATCAATATACTGTAATACAAGGCAGACCAAATTAAATTTGCTAAAATATTTTCTAGTTTTCATTGCTCTTCGTTAGCAAATTAAAAGGGACGAGTTCAAAAAAATGTTCACTTGAAGCTAATAGCAAACAAAAATGTCTGCCAAGATATGCGAAAAATGCGCGTGACAGGAAAGAACATTCAAGTACACCCCAACATCAAATTAATATTAAAACCATGGAGAGCTGAATTTTAGCTGCGAACACAAAAAAATATGAAATCCGATTGGATGTTATGTAAACTTACCCGCTGTGGCACAGTGGAGGACGAGGGCGAAGATGAGGCAGAGGCTGGCGATGATCGGTGCTGGGAGCTGGGACCGCATGTTGCCAGACCTCTATTAAAATGCCAGGCAAATTAATAATCCGCGTCTCTGGTGCACGCCGTCTGCCAGCAAAGCCGCTTAACTGGGTCACATGTGCCGCGGCAGGATGTGCCAAGAGCTGGAATGAAGCAACTCAGCCGCATGCAGCTGCGGGCAATGCGCAAGCCAATCCTTCCCTCGTTTCCCCTATGGCTGTTATTGATATGGCTTATTGTTGTTGTTTGCTGTTTACTATTGCTGTTGCTGTTACTTATTATGGTTGTTAGTTTGTTTTAAGACACAAGCACTATCTGTCCAGTGGTTATGCTAATGCGGCGGTGCTTTTGTGCTTTGGTGCTTGCACTTCCCTTCTCTCCAATTGGTGTTCTTGACCTGTTCCTTTTGCACACAATTGTGGCTTAGCATATTTTAAAATTGCACACGGCCAGTTACACAATTACAATAATATCAACAAAAATACCAACGAATTTGAGAAAGAAAATCAAGGGCTATGCAACTGGCACAAGTAAAACACGTGACATTTTTTTAATATTCCCACAGTGCTGCCGTGTGGGTTTCTATATTTCTACACCCGTTTTATTTGTTTTTTCCTTATTTTATGGCAACGTTTTGCGCAAAATCCTGTCCTGATATATTTGTGTGAGTTAAGGTTAAATTATGTGGGCAGCAGCATTACTTCCAGCCGAGTTCCAGCAATTCGAATCGTCAAGTTTTTGCTGGCAACTTGCAGCAATTTCACAACTAAGAAAATTTTGAAAACTGTGAAAAGTTTTCGCCTGGCGGTCTTCTTATATAATTTTTACGGTTGTGGGCGAAAGGAATCCAGCAGCCGCTATAGTAAAGTTCATTGAATTCTCAATTTGAACAGTTCAGAGGTTTCATTGAGGCTTTAACAGTAAAAAGAATGGTACAAAACGAAGTCTGCTGGAAACGAAATTGTAGTTGGAAGAGCTTTTAAATAGAATTTCGAAATATTAAGTTTAGAAATGCTTAAGCCTTTCGAACATTTCACGAATTACTCTGAAATTGCCAAAAGTTTTGCATCGTCTGTTTCCACTTAGAAGGTAACATTTTATTGTTAAACAAATAAGCAGCTTACATATACTAAAACAACCATTTATTTTTTTTTAAATAATTCCAAAACAGATTTAAAGTTGGCAACAAAAAATCAACTTTTTTGTTGGCTAAAATAGTGCTTATAACTTTGAGGAAAGCTCCTTAAATTATGTTGAATTAAAAAAATAGAAATAAATGAATACAAGATTGAATGTATAGTTTTGCCCCTTATATGCTGCTTGTTGTGATTAGCAAAACACAAGTCTTGTTTAGAATATTTTAGCTGCGCTGAAAAGTATGCTACAAAAATCGAAAAGGGCGAATGTGCCGAGAAAGCGGATTCAGACTCACACGGACCCTGTGTGTATAAAAGTGTGTGTGTGTGTGTGTGTTTTTGTGTGTGTTAAAGCATTCCATTTGGCCAGCTGCTGCTGCTGTTACCTCATCTTTCTTTTACGCTCGAGACTATTTGGCATTAGCAAAATTTATTTATGCGGGTGTTTAGTCGGGCGTAAAAGGTGTGCATATGGCCAGGCAAACACGCCCGATACACATACCCACACACATCTAAACACACACACACACACACAGACGTACACACGCGCGTACACACACGCGGCAGACAGACACTCAGACAAAAATAAGAAATGCTCGACACGAGTTTGTGTATTGAAAGGATTTGAATGGCTGCTTTTTGGTTTAGGAATCGAAGTACGAGTCTGGGCTTGACTTGAAACTTTGTTCGGCTCGTGTGCTGCGAATAATGATTTAAATGCCTTTTGCTTTTGCTTTTGCCGCAGCCAACAAATGGAAAACGGGCTCTGACAAATTCCAGCCGTACATAAGTAATGGCAAACGGTTACTAGCTCGGTCAATGAAGCGTTAACGCAAATGTTAAACAAATGTAATGTTCTGGCCGAGTGAATTGTATGCATTAAGGAACGGCTGCTCTTCTCTTATGTTATCCTTGTTCTTGTTCTTATTCTCATTCTTATTGTTATTGTTATTGTTGTAAATGATAACGTAAATAATGCCAAATTGATTGCACAAACAATACAGTAGAGCGGAAGTGTGAATGATTTAACACAGCTCCCAGTTTTTTTCTATGCGCCTTTAACTTAGAAATCTGTTCTCTGTTTCTTGATTTTCCTCCTGTTGTTTTCTTGTTGCTTTTGTTGTTGTGCTTCTCGTTGCTGTGGCATAGCAAACGGCTGAGGACGGAAGATGAAATTTGTTAGCCGCCGAACCGGAAACAGACATTTTTTGTGACTTGTAATTTAGTTTATTGTTGAGGCCATTAATTGAATGCCGTAGTGCGAGTATTCGTATATAATATTTTGACATTCATTATTATTATTATGTTTATTGTTGATATTAAATTGAAGGAAATTGTGTGTGACACTAAGGCACTGTCAATAATAATAAAAGTCAAGACTACATTTTATATATCTTGCGAGTTTAATAAGTTGCGTTATGTTCGTGATTTATTTACCTCATTAAAATATGTTTGAGGCATAATATGCCTCAGCACTTTGATATGTAAATTCCAAGAAACCCAAGGAAAATACAAAGCTAAACCAACAAATTCAATCTGTTCGGGATCTAATAATATTTTTGGAAGCTCAAAAGTTTTTTCTGCATAATTAATTTTAAAAAATATTACATTGTTTTACATATCCAATCAATTTTATTATTAATTATATTATAAAAAATTGTTGATTGCATCCATGTATTTATTGATTTATGACTTCGAATATGTTTGCCGAACTTCCTTTCGTTTATAAGTAGGCTGTTTATTTTAAAAAAATGTTCGTATCATCTTCTAAATTAACAGCTTTGCTTAACTCTTAATATTGTTCTTAAATTATTTGATTTTATATCAACATGTAATTTGCAACTTATGCACCATGTCAACAAATAAATTTATTGGATTTTATGAATACATTTATTCATTTAAAATCAGTTGTTAGTATTTAGCACAAACCAACACATGCAAGCTGAAGATCAAGCTGCATACTTAGTTTCAGTCCTTTTGGAAAGCACTTGTGTAAAATAATTGTACGTAATGTCACATAATTTAATACTTAATTTACATTTATTCATGTGCATTCATTTGATTAGCACTGCATTCACTTGTTTAGTTAACCGAATTTGTCACACGACCTGCTTCTCACCTACGATGCGCAGAACGAAGCGTACGCGACACCGGCTAAAAGTAGACTAAACGAAGCGCCAATGCTAATGAGCTGTTGTGGATGCTGCTCTGTAAAGCAACACTCAACAGCTTAGAGAGACAGAGAGAGATAGAGAGAGAGAGCCTGGCTATGACTGAGAGCGTTGCCTATGTTAACCTGCTGTATTGTACTTGTCGGAGATGCTGCGCTGTTAACTAACACTTACACCAGCAGTTGAGTGACACGACATTACAGCTCTTGACGATGTTAGCGAGCTTGTTAATCCGTGCAAACAATTGCAATTATTGTGCTTGAGTGTTTTCGCTGTAAAATAATTATTTATACGAGCGTGTTTGGCATTTTAGCGAAACGGCTCATTTAGATTTAAGGAGAGAAAGCAATGGGTCTAATGTAAGTAAGCGCATAAGCTCCACAATTCAAACGAACTTATCATAATCATAATGAGAATTAATCCCAGCTGAATGCTTGGCCAATTTACAAATGTAGTGCGAGAACAGAGCACACAAACACACACACGCACACAGTGGCACTTACAGCCGCTTAACAGCGCGATAACATTATTTCCCATTAACGTCAAGCCGGCAAATTGGGCGGCACACAGTGGAGCCATTGAGCAGATAGAGCTGGCGGGTAATGCTGCCGCTACCTCGGATCCCTAAAAGCGAAAACAAATAATAATAATGAAAAAAGAAAGGTCACAATAATAACTAAGCTGGCAAACGCAAGCGCATTGAGTGAAACTAGGACAGGAAAATAAAATAAAAAAAAGCACCACTGAAAAAATGCATTGCAAGTTGCAATGCACAAGGATAAACATAATATGGCAAGCCGTTAACTTCAGCACACACGCACACACTTAACAAAGACAAAAAAAAGAGCACACTTTTATGCAGACGAGCCATATTAGTGTCGCCAAGCCAAGAGAGCAACTAACAGAGCGAGAGCATAAAAAAAGGCAAACTCATACAGAGAGAGGGAGAGAGTGCTGGTGATTTGAGGAGAATGCATTAAGGAGAAGCAGGGGGGAGGTGGAAGGACAAGAGAAGCCCTTGCATAAAATTCAATTTGTCGTGTGCAGCAGCCATGAATATGCCGAACTGCCGAGCTTAAGCTGCTGCTGCCGCTGCTGCTGCTGCTGCTGCTGCTGCTGACAGTGAAGCACACATTTCGCTGTCCCTCAATCTGTCTGTTAGTAGTATATAACATTGCACATACACTCCCCCCCCACACACCACTCGCCAACAATCCATTGCTTTACTTTGCTTGCTCTGTACAATTGCAATTGATGTTACTGTTGCTCATCTGGTTTTTGTTGCCGCTGCTGTTGCTGCTGCTGCAGTGGAGTAACATATGCGCGAAATTACTTACGATGCGTCGCTGCTGCTGCAGTCGCTGCTGTCATAGGCAGCCCTGGCGTCGGGTAACTGGTTGTGGTCCGCATACCGCTGCCGGCACGATGGCTTGTAAAACAATGGTTGCACACAAGACAGTCGCAGTTATTACCAAACACTCAAATATTTACACACACTCGGCCAGCCAGGCTTTAACAGGTTATCTTTTTTTTGTATAGCATTTTCAACAGTTAAAACAATTGCACACAGCACTGCAGGCAAATTAAAAACTTTTTGCCTGTGTTTTCGTTTTTCATTTAATTTTTATTTGTTGCTGGCTATTTTGAAAGCTCGCAGTTGATAATTATCGAGACCCTAAAACGTTTGCCATGGGCCCAACTGAAGTGCCCCATTATGTGGCATCAAATGAATGATAATCAGCCGGCAGATTGGGCCCAAGGGGATGGGGGCAGTAAGTAACATTTTCGTGTGTCATATGCTTGGCCACAGAATGTCCAAAGTTTTAAGTGAGTTCACGTTTGAGTGTGCGTATGTGTGTATGTTGCACACATGTGGGTGGTGTAATAAGCATAGTTTGTGTGCTGTCCTGTTTTAGCCTCTTTATGCGTCATAGAACATTTTAAATTGGCCCTTTGTAGCACATAAATTACGCATACGTCATGTGTGGCAGGCCGATTCCAAACTTAAAGTGTTAACAATTAAATTAATATATTTCATTAAATTGTGCTTTTAAATTATTCTACTTTAATTTATAATGTTGCAGATATGAACTAAGAAATATATATACTATGTATACGTAGTTCGAGTATGCTTTGAATATTTCATTCAAGAGCTTGTTAGAAAATTATATTAATAATATGTTTGAAAAGTTGGATCTTATATTTTGCAGCTATACATTTTTTCTACAACATATTTACAACACCTTTAGACATTTCTGTTATTTACACATTTAAATACTTAAGCAAAAAGTGCACTCATTTGCCATTTTTCAATAGCACTCAATTAAGAGTCTCTCAAGTAAGAACATTTCTGGCCTTTTCCTGCTGCACTGCTTTTGCACACTTTTCACTTTTCGAAGTCATTAATCACAGAAAAATAAGAAAGAAAAGTTGAAAAACATGAATGAGAAGGAGATTGAGATTGAGACGGAAAAAAAAAAAAATAATTAAAAATGTTTAAGGATACATTAAAGAGAAAACAAAAATTGTACGCTCAATTGGGTCAGATAACTTAATGCAATTGAATTGGACAACCGCTGTTGGGATTACATGGATAATCGTACTAAATTTAGATGAAAAAAAAAAAAAACAAAAACGAGTCCGTAATTAAGCTGGAAATGAAGTTGCAATTGGGTTTGACATGTTCGGCACTTTAATTAAGTTACGGCTTAGCGGACAAAGTCAGCAGTTGCACGCGGATGTTACGTATACGTATGGGACTATGGCCGCTGTGAGGGCTTTGGGCCAAACGCAAACAATTCACGACAATTAATTGTAGCTGGTTGTGAGCCGGCAAACACAAAGCTCAACCTCAACCACAGCGGCGACATGACGACAACTACATAGATTACCATTACCCCACCCACTCTCAGCAAATAAATGGTCAGAACATGGACAGCCGGCAGCTCGCTGAACCTGAAATTGAAATCTGCAAACTGCGCACTGAAAATCGAAAACAGAATCTGCAACAAATTTGTGAAACAACAACATAAGCCAATAACTGTCAAAGGCGGGGCTCATTCAAAGTTTCCTTCCAGCACCAAATGCAGCATATATGTAGATGTTTCGCCTGGCGACTTTGTCGAAAATGTCAGCAAGAGCTAAACGCAATTAATTCCAAATTTATTCGATAACAACGACAAAACGACATGACCCCAAAGAGCTTCAGACTGCACAAATAGGCATTGTTATTGCAGATGCTGATATTGTAGTTGTTGTTATCGTCGCAGCAATAGTTTTAGTTGTCGGTGTTGGTGTTGCTGTTGCTGTTGTGCATTAGGCGTCGTCCTGCCGGTTGCAAGAGAGACTGCATTAGCCTCAAGTGCAATGTGACAGCAGCAACGAGCCGAGTGACAGCTATACTAACAGGAAGTCATACACTTATGTGCCATGGTCATGAAACCATAGAACCATGAGCTCTGCAATGTAACTTCCACTTCCTGCCTCGTCTTACACCCAATAGCTTTTCGTTCTCCTTTGCATCATCTGTCGCTTAACATGCATAAGTGACTGATTGATCTGACACTCGAAAGCTCGAGTGGACCAACTTAACGATGCATGCATATTCCATCATCTGAATAAGCCGATCAAATTCTCATAAATCAAAATTGAGACTCTTGCACCCCTTTAAATGCTAATCATTTTAATTGGCAATATGGAGAGGTAATTAGTGTTCAATAGGTTTCTTAAACTGCTTACCTCAACTCATGATTTTGATAAATATATTTTAATTCGTTGCTGCAGTGACTTTCATCAAGTGCATTCTAGTGCCTGTTGTGAGCTCAAATTTAATATTCTCAAATGAATCTGAGTTTGTGCTCTAGAGCTTATTAGATAATCTTATCTTATATTTGCCTAAAATTCGTCTATTTCTTGGTTGATGCATAAAAATCACAGATCTTCAATACAAAAGATTAAAATGTATTTACAATTATTTAAAAAAGAAATTACCATAAATACCAATTTAATTTCCATTTGGGTCAGCCATTTAATTTAGTTTTTAAGCCCCGCCGTAAAGTTGTAAGCCCCATGTAAGTGGCTTAGATACTGTTCACAATTGTATGACAGTGCAAATGTTGTACAAATCCCCCCTACCACTACTCTCCCCCATCCTAGATATCAACAATTACATATTTACACTTTCGGGGCCATTGGATATCATTAATGTGGTTAAATCGTATAAACCTCGACTGTCAGACACTGCTTACTGGACCAAGCAGGAATCTGGTTTTAGCTATTACCATGCCTTGCCTCTTGTGTGCTTATGTGCATGAGTGTGTGTGTGTGTGTGTATGTGTGTGTATGTGTATGTCTGCAGAACGGCGTTCTCTGTCAGGGTTTCGGATAACAGACATGTTGCATGTGCCAAAAAAGTCTACAAAACATGTTGGCCTTTACTCGGTTTTATTTTTTGGTCTACATATAGCCGCAAGCTCAGACAGCTATGGCAAGAAGAAAATTTACCACAGTACAGAAAATAAAAGCAACAATAACAATTCCAAAAAAAAAACAACAACAACTTTACTATGTTCCTCCATTTGCAACATTTATAGTGTGTATGTGTGTGTGTGTGTGTGTGTGTGTGTGTCGGTGCTGTGCTGTGCTTTTGGGTGTGAGGAAGGTCATTTTATTGTTTCCAGTCAAAATGGTCAAATGGGAATTTGTTTTCACCATTCTATTTATTTTTGTTTTAGTTTTTAGTTTCTTATGTTTTTTTTTTTTATTGGCCTATAGATTTAGATTGAGCTGTCGTACATGTTATTAGGCATTGGAATTGGGCCTTAACGAAAACCCAAGCTAGACAGCAACAAAGATTGCTGGCATATCACGTCAGCCAAAGTTTGGAAAGAGTGAGCCAAATGATTAGAATAATCGCCGGAGGTGATTCGACTTACTGAGCTTACAACAACTCCATAACACACATAAGAGCCAAATCGAATGGAATTCCAAATTCAGTGTTGGGTCATAAAATTTAGAACCCTTCAATTGTCAGTTTGCCAGTGTTTAAAAATTTTATTACTCTCATATGAGCCGAGGCTAAGGGTTCTATTCCCAACCAAAGTGAATTTTATGTCTGGTGCCTTTTGTCCAAAGGGTCGATTTGGGTATTTGGAAGATGAAAAGCGGCTTCCTTAAGCCATAGGGCGAAGTAGACATAGTTGAAATAAATATTTTTCAATGCATATAAATTCAACCAGAATCCAATTAATTTTAAATATACTTGTTGGCTTTTCAAAAGCTTCATAAGGAAATCAAAAGTTTTAAGGGATTTGTACGCTTACTCAAAATCACTAATTAAATTTAAGTATTGGTAATTAAGAATTACTTTCAAATTCTACAATTTATCAAAAGTAACTTCAAGTTTTTTCATACACAGCAAATTTATTCAGGCCGCAGAAGCCACTTCTCATCTTCGCCTTGCCGCCTTTGCAATGTGCTCAGAGGAGTTCTGCAGCAGAACTCGGCATAATAATTAATTTCCAAATTCAACCATGTCCTACGCCAAAAGTTGTCTCCTCCAACGGGTGGGGAATGGCAGCATCGGGGAATATTCAAGAGTTTGTTTGTACAGCAAATGCCACCGCATTCGTATAATTTCATTCAGATTTAATTGTCAAGCGCTAGCTGGAAAATTTTGCATAGTTGGCAAGACGCTGGTTGTTGGGGGAAATGAGCGATGTAGTGATATATTATAAATGTGTATGCACTGAAAACGCCCTGCAATTTATTTAACAGAAGCTTAAATTATCCGGCTATGCTCGAGCCAACTCTGTTTCACAAAAAGCAAACAATCAATTTGATTTTAATAATCATTTAAAGATGTTTTAAAAGCAAAAGGCTTAACTTAAACCAAGCAACTGGAACACATTTAAAGCTATTTTGCTGAATTGCCTTTAGTGGTTGAACAACATTTATTCTTCAGATTTCTTTAGGAAGAACTACATACAAGTGACATAATTATTTTGGAACACCCAATATTTTCTCTATTTCGCAGAGTCGATCAATAATGTCCTGGTTCCGAGCTCTTTGATCCTTAAGTTTATCTGCTATAGCATCCAAAGTGGCTGCGATGGCCAACAGCGACACATCTGTTGTATGCAGATCTCTACGTGTCGGAAATATCTTTGCCACAGGGACAACAGCAGATTGATCCCAATCTGGATCTGATGAGCCTAAAAAAGAGTCGCATAATGAAACAGAAACAGCAGACGATTCTTTTGCACCTGAATTCACGACTGGGACTGGAGATGTCACCGGATCCACAACAGCCGCTAGAGTTGACAATGGTTCAACTATTGGTACTGAAGTCGTCACAACAGCCACTGGAGTTGCCACTGGTGCGGAAGTCTCCGCAACAGCGACTGAAATTGCGACTGGCTCTGCTACTGGAACTGAAGTATCACCAATATCAACTGGCATTGCTACTGCTGGAGTCTCCACAATAGTGACCGGTGTTGCCACTGGATTTGCCACTGCTACTGGAGTCTCCACAACAGCGACTACAGTTGCTGCTGGTACTACTACTGGTGCCGAAGTCTCTACAGCAGCCACTGGAGTTGCCACTAGCTCTGCTACTGCCACAGGAGCTTCCGCAATCGCGACTGGAGTTGCCACTGGCTCTGCTGCTAGTTCTGGAGTCTCCACTGGATCTGCCACTGCAACTGGAGTCTCCACAGCAGCGACTACCACTGCAGGAACTGGAGTTGACATTGACTCTGCTACCACAACTACAGCTCGAGTTGCCATTGGCTCTGCTACGTTTTCTGAATTCTCCACAACAGCCACTGGAATGGGCACTGACTCTGCTACTGGTACTGGAGTCACTTCAACAGTCCCTGGAGTTGACACTGACTCTGCTACTGGTACTGGACTCTTCACAGCAGCCATTGGAGGTGCCACTGGCTCTGCTACTGGCACTGGAGTCGTCTCAACAGCCACTGGAGTTGGCACTGGCTCTGCTGTAGGTACTGGAGTCGCCACAACTGCCACTGGAGTTGCCACTGGCTCTACTACTGGCTGTGGAGTCGCCTCAGCAGGCACTGGAGCTGCTACTGGCTCTGCTGTAGGTACTGGAGCCACCTCAACAGCCACTGCAGTTGGCACTGGCTGTGCTACTGGCACTGGAGTCACCCCAACAGCCACTGGAGTTGCCACTGGCTCTGCTGCAGGTGCTGGAGTCACTTCAACAGCCTCTGGAGTTGCCACTGGCTCTGCTGCAGGTACTGGAGTCACCTCAACAGCCACTGGAGGTGCCACTGCCTCTGCTACTGGCACTGGAGTCGTCTCAACAGCCACTGGAGTTGGCACTGGCTCTGCTGTAGGTACTGGAGTCGCCACAACTGCCACTCGAGTTGCCACTGGCTCTACTACTGGCTGTGGAGTCGCCTCAGCAGGCACTGGAGCTGCTACTGGCTCTGCTGTAGGTACTGGAGTCACCTCAACAGCCACTGGAGTTGGCACTGGCTCTGCTGCAGGTGCTGGAGTCACTTCAGCAGCCTCTGGAGCTGCCACTGGCTCTGCTGCAGGTACTGGAGTCACCTCAACAGACACTGGAGGTGTCACTGCCTCTGCTACTGGCACTGGAGTCGTCTCAACAGCCACTGGAGTTGCCACTGGCTCTGCTGTAGGTACTGGAGTCGCCACAACTGCCACTGGAGTTGCCACTGGCTCTACTACTGGCTGTGGAGTCGCCTCAGCAGGCACTGGAGCTGCTACTGGCTCTGCTGTAGGTACTGGAGTCACCTCAACAGCCACTGGAGTTGGCACTGGCTGTGCTACTGGCACTGGAGTCACCTCAACAGCCACTGGAGTTGCCACTGGCTCTGCTGCAGGTACTGGAGTCACCTCAACAGCCACTGGAGTCGGCACTGGCTCCACAGCAGCCACTGGTGCTGCCACTGACGCTGCTACTGGCGTCGAAGTCACCTCAACAGCTACTGGATCTGCGGCTGGTGCTGGAGTTTCCACAGCAGCCACTGTTGTTGCCACTGGAGTTGCCAGTGGCTCTGCTGCAGGTACTGGAGTCACCTCAACAGCCACTGGAGTTGGCACTGGCTCTACTACTGGCACTGGAGTCGTCTCAACAGCCACTGGAGTTGCCACTGACGCTGCTACTGGCGTCGAAGTCACCTCAACAGCCACTGGAGTTGCCAGTGGCTCTGCTGCAGGTACTGGAGTCGCCTCAACAGTCACTGGAGTTGCGATTGGATCTGTTATTGGGGTTGGAGTCGCCTCAGCAGGTACTGAAGTTGCCACTGGCTCTGCTGCAGGTACAGGAGTCACCTCAACAGCCACTGGAGTCGGCACTGGCTCCACAGCAGCCACTGGTGCTGCCACTGACGCTGCTACTGGCGTCGAAGTCACCTCAACAGCTACTGGATCTGCGGCTGGTGCTGGAGTTTCCACAGCAGCCACTGTTGTTGCCACTGGAGTTGCCAGTGGCTCTGCTGCAGGTACTGGAGTCACCTCAACAGCCACTGGAGTTGGCACTGGCTCTACTACTGGCACTGGAGTCGTCTCAACAGCCACTGGAGTTGCCACTGACGCTGCTACTGGCGTCGAAGTCACCTCAACAGCCACTGGAGTTGCCAGTGGCTCTGCTGCAGGTACTGGAGTCGCCTCAACAGTCACTGGAGTTGCGATTGGATCTGTTATTGGGGTTGGAGTCGCCTCAGCAGGTACTGAAGTTGCCACTGGCTCTGCTGCAGGTACAGGAGTCACCTCAACAGCCACTGGTGTTGCCACTGGCTCTTCTATTGGCGCTGGAGTCGCTTCAACAACCACTGGAGTTGCCGCTGGCTCCACAGCAGCCACTGGTGCTGCCACTGACGCTGCCGCTGGCTCTGCTGCTGGTATTGGAGTCGACTCACCAGCCACTGGAGCTGCGATTGGCTGTGCGACTGGCACCGGAGTCGCCTCAACAGCCCCTGGATCTGCGGCTGGTGCTGCCGCTGGAGTTGCCGCTGGCTCTGCTGCTGCTACTGAAGTCGCCACAGCAGCTACTGCAGTTGCCGCTGGCTCTGTTGCTGGTATTGGAGTCGACTCAACAGCTACTGGAGTTGGCACTGGCTCTGCTACTGGCACTGCAGTCGCCTCAACAGCCACTGGAGGTGCCACTGACTCTGCTACTGGCACTGGAGTCGTCTCAACAGCCACTGGAGTTGGCACTGGCTCTGCTGTTGTTGCTGTAGTCTCCACAGCGGCCACTGGTACTGCCACTGGCTCTGCTGCTGGTACTGGAGTCTCCTCAATAGCCACTGGAGCTGCGATTAGCTGTGCGACTGGCACCGGAGTCGCCTCAACAGCCCCTGGATCTGCCACTGGCTCACCTGCTGGTACTGGAGTCGCCTCAACAGCCACTGGAGTTTCAATTAGATCTGCGGCTGGTGCTGCCACTGGAGTTGGCACTGGTTCTGCTACTAGCGCTGGAGTCGTCTCAACAGCCACTGGAGTTGGCACTGGCTCTGCTGTTGTTGCTGTAGTCTCCACAGCGGCCACTGGTACTGCCACTGGCTCTGCTGCTGGTACTGGAGTCTCCTCAATAGCCACTGGAGCTGCGATTAGCTGTGCGACTGGCACCGGAGTCGCCTCAACAGCCCCTGGATCTGCCACTGGCTCTGCTGCAGGTACTGGAGTCACCTCAACAGTCACTAGAGCTGTGATTGGCTGTGCTACTGGCACTGGAGTCGGCTCAACAGCTACTGGAGTTGCCGTAGGCTCTGCTGCTGGTATTGGAGTCGCTTCAACAACCACTGGAGTTGCCGCTAGCTCCACAGCAGCCACCGGTGCTGCCACTGGCTGTGCTGCTGGTACTGGAGTCACCTCAACAACCACTGGAGCTGCGATTGGCTGTGTGACTGGCACCGGAGTCGCCTCAACAGCCCCTGGATCTGCGGCTGGTGCTGGCACTGGAGTTGCCGCTGGCTCTGCTGCTGCGACTGGAGTCACCTCAACAGTTACTGGAGTTGCCGCTGGCTCTGCTGCGGGTGCTGGAGTTTCCACAGCAGGCACTGGAGTTGCCGCTGGCTCTGCTGCGGGTGCTGGAGTCTCCACAGCAGGCACTGGTGCTGCCACTGACGCTGCCACTGGCTGTGCTGCTGCTACTGGAGTCACCTCAACAGTCACTGGAGCTGCGATTGGCTGTGTGACTGGCACTGGAGTCGCCTCAACAGCTACTGGAGTTGCCACTGGATCTGCGGCTGGTGCAGCCACTGGAGTTGGCACTGGCTCTGCTACTAGCGCTGGAGTCGCCTCAACAGTTACTAGAGTTGCCGCTGGCTCTGCTGCGGGTGCTGGAGTTTCCACAGCAGCCACTGGAGTTGCCGCTGGCTCTGCTGCGGGTGCTGGAGTCTCCACAGCAGGCACTGGTGCTGCCACTGGCTCTGCTACTGGCTCTGCTACTGGTACTGGTCTCGCCACAACAGCCACTGGAGTCACAACTGGCTCTGCTGCTGGTACTGGAGGCGCTACAACAGCGACTGGAGTTGATACTGGATTTGCTACTGATACAGGGGTATCCACAACAGCCACTGGAGTTGCAACTGGCTCTGCTACTGGCACTGGACTCTTCACAACAGCCACTGAAATTTCCATTGGCTCTGCTGCTGATGCTGGAGTCTCCACATCAGCCACTGGAGTTGCCACTGGCGCTGGAGTCCCCACAACGGTAACTGGCATTGCCACTGTTTCTGATGCTGGTACTGGAACGATTGTTGTCGCTGGTACTGCGGCCTTCACGGTTGCTGTCGGTGGTACTGCAGTCTCCACGACAGTTGCTACTGGTGTTAGAGTCTTCACGACGGTGACTGGAGTGTCCGCAGTTGTAGCTGTCGAAATTGGTGTTGCAACATCCTTGGATTCGATGACGGCGGCTGCTGTTGCCAACGTTGGAGTTATGGGAGCTATGGTTGCGACTGGTATTGAAGATGTAAGAGCAATTGTTGTCGCAGTAGGCGGAGAAGAGTCAACTGCTGTAGTTGGATTTTCCATTGTCTCATGTAATTTATCGTCTTTCGTAATTCAGTGCCTATAGTATTAAATATTGTTTTCATTAACCCAAAAATGACGATTCATAATAATATTTAATAAATGATAAAAACACGATTGTGAGACACAAATGTTCGCTGTAGCTTTTCACCCCATTTTGTTTTGGCACAGGGTGTTAAATATAGACACTCTTGACGTAAGAATTTCACTTTCATTCTAAACAAGCAACTGAAAGCAATTGAACTACTTCACGAGACATGATAAGGCGCTTAACCTTGGCCTTCGAAAAGGTCGTTGGTCTAAAGAATTGGATTCTTTACAAATGTGGTAAGCTGAGGAAAACCCGAAAGGGTAAAAATACAAAGCACACTTGCAATTTTAAACGAATTTGTCGTCATTATCGTGTTTCTGTCTTTTTCAATCGATATATTGATATGGATTTATTTTTGCGTAGGCGCCACATTGGCGATTGTCGCGAAAAAAACGCTTGAGTGACCACATTAAATTGTTATATAATGAAAACAATCTCTCGATATCATAGAACAGGTAACCGAAGATAATGTTAAGCAAAAGAAAGTCTCAAATTACTTTCTCTTAAATTACTTTTTAAATTAATTTTAATTATTGCTTCGCTATGCTCTGTATTGTAGTGTATTTATAGGAAAATTTGTGTTTGTATTTGGGATTTTAGTTTTTGTATTAAATGTATTTATGTAGTACATTATGGCTGTATTGAAAATGAGCTATATATATATATATTTATTTACTATTATTACTATTTAAAGAACTTTTTTAAATCTTTTTTTCACCGTCGAACCTCACGATTTGAAAACATACGTTTAACTGGTCAAGGTATAGAAATATTCAGTTTTTCAACAGCTCTTATCGGTAGTTTTCTTTCGTTAAGAGGCCTGACAAATGCCCATTGAGAACGAAAAACTAAACGAATGTTTTTAGGTGCCAGAAAAAGCCGCTAAGTATTTGTTTATTTCGAATTGCTTAAGTGGCTTTACAAGAACTTCACAAGAACTTCAATGCCAGCCAAAACAACAGTTGTTTCATTATACATTTAACGACAGAAGTTAGTAAAACGATTCATATTAAATTGATTGAATATTCATTTTAATGAAATCGATAGAGTATTCAATTAATAGTTTATTTTATCTTTAGTCTTTTATCTACATACACAACCATGGTTATTTATATTAAGCAAGATTACTTGGCAAACTTGTCAGCAAATCCATTCCCCAAGACCGTCTGAAGGGCATTCAATGTCTGACACTTTGACAAACTGTCGGGATGGAGTCGCTCAATCGAAACACATTAGCTGCAAAAAATGTAATCGCAGAGAACTAAGAAATAAATCTTTCAATTTTTCGAATGAATAAAGGAAATAAATGCAGCGAAATGTGAAGCAATTCTCAATTGCAAGACATGCGCCCCGCCCACCACTTCCCAACTGAATACACCAGTTTCAATGGAGTTGCATATGTGTCGGGATGGTGATGGTGGAGACGTAGACGGAGATTGGCAAGTAGATGGCGTAATGTGATCTGCGTACAATTTGAATCCCAGCTCACTTGAGACTTGAGACTCCAGCAAATAGTTTTTCAATATGGACGCGAAATGGAATCGCGATAAAGCGTACAAAATAAAATAACGTATAAATAAAGAAGGAATAAAGAATTCATCCTCACAAATGCAAAATGCTTATGTGGAAATCGTTCGCCAGCCTGCCCACCCAAGCTTCAAACCCCAGGCGAAGAGAATTCGGAGTACGGAACAATTGCTGGAGATTGAATTGGCAGTTCAATTTCACGTATTATTGACATTTAAGAGCAAGAAACGGATATGAACAGAAACCAACTGCCAGGCAGCAAAGGTATTGCCTGCCTATTATTTCAAACTATAAATCAATCGACTGATGTGTGAACAGCAACCAATATAATAAAAACGAAAGCAAAAACAAACAATTTTATTGCAGTATTGTTGTATTATAGTAGCCAAAAAGATGCAATTAACTTACAACAATTTTAGCACGGCTTTAAGACATTAACCATTTGTGTTTGCTTATACAGAGTGAATAGGTGATAAAAATATAATTGCCATGTATATATATATATATATTTATTTCAACTTGTATAAAAAATTGCATACTCTTAATTGGTATCATTTAGCACGCACCGCGAGTGCTGAATACAAACACAAATACAAATCAGAATCCGAATCTGAATCTGAGTGTTTTGAATTGGTTCAGCTGTAGTACAGCGATCTGTGAGCTGGCATCGAATGCTTCCGGGCGTATTTTGCTAAATTGCAAATATTTTCCAATTCGCATGCATCAGCAGCACAATATGCAAACAATTTTGCCCAGCGGCCACAATGGGCCACAAAAAACCAAAAAAAAAATCAAAAATTGACCAGACAAGAGTGCGCAACTTATAAATACACTATTGTTGACTTTGATATTTTAAAATACGCCGAATAAATAGTCTAAGGATATGTTAAAATGTAGAAAGAAACATTTTTATTTCATTTAATTTTAATGAAACTGTCATCAAAGTCAATTAAAAAGGCAGCTGAATAAGCTCTTAACTATTTAAATGACTACAGGGCATCGAAAGCGAAACCGATTGCAATGGCTACAAATAAAAATGGACAGACCCACCGATTTTTGCCTCTGCTGTTGCAGCAATTTTTGCAACGTATTGCAACGCAACACAGTTGCAGTTGCAACTACAACTGTTAGCAATTTATTTTCGGTTTGATTGGTTTTTTTTTCCTCTGATGCTTAATTGCACTTGGCATGAAAGCTTTTGGCCAAATGATGAAGAGGGACGTTTTGGTGGCATTTCGGTTGAAAGGTCGCGCTCATCACAGGGCTTTAATAAATTATTCAAATAAACACGCATCAGTCTGACTGTCTTCCTGCCTATCTATCTGTTTTGCCTGTCAGCCTTATGGGGCTGTCAGTCGGGGGTCAGGGCTCTGGGGGTGGATCTGGTCGCTGCGTGTTAATGGACGCTGCATGCCAACAGTTTGTGGTCAGCAAAAACCAGTAAAAAAACCAAAAGCAAACGAAACTCAGCATGCTGCTAAAAAAAAAAAAAAGTAACACAGTTCGGCAAATATGCATACACATATAGGCACACCCACACACCCAGAGGCCGACACACACACACATACTTATATATACCTTCCGGCCACCTTGCCACATTTTGTAGAAATGAAAAAGGTAAATTTACTGCATATTTCACGCATTTTTATTTGCATTCGCATTCCAACTGGGCAAAGGGCAACCTGGCATTCACCTCGCATTCACAGCTTTTGACACTTGACAACATGATTGTTTTTAAAGCCAGTGATAAATTATGCATCACACAAAAATACACTCAACAACCACACACAGCCGTAGTATTTGCTCAACAACAAATTTGAACAAAAGAACACCGGCAACAAAAACAAGAATGTCAACAATTGGCTTGCAATGCCCATAACAGCAACTCGAAACAATGAAAGGAATTTCAAATAATTAAACGAACTTTAGCTCCATAAATGAAATACAACTTGATTCCAAATCAAAATACAAATTCACCAACCTTAATTTGAGTTATTACATATACAAAAATTGTAGATCAAAAATCATTCCACATTGAAAAATAGGCATTCGTAATTTGAAAAGTTGTTGAAATTAAAAATTATTAGTGCTTTTATTAAAATACTTATAACGTAATTGCAACGAATAGAGCTAGTTAAACGTTCATAAAGTAATTAAAATCTCATTCAAGTTAAACAACAGAATTTCTTTTTATTGTTTTTTGCATTATTTTTTTTACTCATTGCATCTGCTTGTGGCAAATTAACTTGAATGCCGCAATAAAAAAAAAATAAATAAAATAGCACAAAAGGATGGCAAAAGGGTTAAAAGATGGGAAACAAATCTTCTAGAAAACGAGCTGCTTTGGCTTAGAAGAGAGAACCCACTCCCAACCCAATGCCTCATGGAACTGGCAGCTTGGCAATTCGCGTAACTTTTATCATTAGTCCGTTGGGAAATTTAACGGGCACTTAAGTTCTTCACTCGTTTTCAACTTATTTTTGCAGCCACTATTGTTTCACCATTTTTGCGCAATCTTGCTTTAGTTTTTCGCATGTATTTTTATTTTTAGCCAAATGGATGGCGGGGGAGGGGCTGCTGCGGCTGTCACCTTTAACATTCTGTGCCCAGCGTCAAGTGCACCTAGCCACTATGCCGCATCTCGGCTGGCAAGTTTAGGAGCATGCCGAATGAACAGAAAATTTATTTTATGCGCTCTTTTCGGCCAGCGGCAGCGACCAAGTAGACCAAACAATCCAAAAAGGTTAGCTCCATCGTTTATATGAACTTTTTTTTTTTGCTTTTATTTCGTTGAGCTTTTTATTCGTTTGTTTCTTTGTGTACCTGTTGTTAAGTTGCTGGTTCGGAACGTATACTACATTTATTTTATTTTTTTAAATTTGCTGCTGTTGTTGTTGTTGTTGCTGCTGCTGCTGCTGCTCCGGAGAGGATATTGTTGCAATTTATTTTATTGCATTTTGTGTAGAGTTTCGGATTTAATTTAGTTTGTGGATCGCTTCTTATATTTGCTATGCGCTGAAAATTATCCTTCACTCGAAAATTTAACAAGTTGCCAAGTTTTTAATACGGCGCCTCAAACTTTTTCGATTTGTTTCTTTTTTTCCCCCATCACTTTTTATGAATTGGTGCTATAAAATGTATTTGTATCAAGTGTGAAGCGAAAAAGGCCTTTGAGCTTAGAGTTGATATGATTGAGACGGCCATTTATGTAGTCCAATTTTAATTAAAGGGCAAATAGCAAATAAACCAAAGCTTTAGTTTACGAATTTGCCCAATTCAAAATTACAATATAAACACAGTTTCCAGCTTATCGTTCATATTTAAATAGATGCTCAAGTTTATTGAATTTATATAAACATTAAAATTAATTCCAAAAGTTTCACAATATCTGCTTGCGTGGAAGTGAACATTAAATTTATGCA